GGAAAGGGAAAGCTCGCTGAGCACTTTCTGCACGCCCCTGTACAACGGAGGTTTGTCTGTCACTATGAGGTCTTCAATGCATGTCCGCATTGCTCAGGAAGCTACTCATGGCGAGTACTGCTGACCCAGCATCTCTTACAACAGGCCTGCTTGTGGCCCATTCTTCGATGGACCGGATTTGCTTGCCTCTATCTCAACACAGCGCATCTTTTCCTGTCTCAAAATACACCTTGACGTCCTTGCCTGCTGTTTCAAATTGAGGCGTTGTGATCATGAGACTTTGACTGTTCTTCTATTTGCGCTTCATTTTAAGGCCTCAGTTATGGAATATGATTTTGTGTACCGATATGAAAAGGGCGAATAGCACATTTGGCACAACATTGCCGTTGCAGCTAAAAGACCGTGCACACGATATGTCCACCTGCAAAAACAAGCATTCCACTCTACGCAGATTGAGCCGCATTTTGGTGCAAGTCTGTGACCGCGAAACTCTTACAGTATAGCGTGCGAGAGGAACCCATTGAATTGAAAAATCTGTTTGCATTGCTGCCTTCCTCACTTCTGTTGTAATTTGCCAGTCCCGAATTTTGATGTGCTTGAAATGGCGTTCGAAGGGATTTTAATCGAAGACACCGCGCAGGGCATTCATCTGTGGGAGTGAAGGCTTTTGTAACATGACTGTTTGGCGACATCTCAGGAACATGCACAGAAATCTCTCGACCAATTTTAATTGTACATCAAAGGTATATGGGAAAGTATTTGCAGATGCTTGGCCATTGGATATTAGAGGTGCTTAGTGAAATGTAAGGTGTGCAGCTCACTGTCAAGTGTGCCTTCGTATCTCTATGCCATTGGTAAAATTGTGCTGGTCAGATGTGACATCAGCATCGCGCAATTGTGTGAATATGATTCAGGGAGAAAATTGGGCGTTATTTGTATGTCTTGGAACCTGAGGAAGGTTCGACGAGCAGTGAGTGGGAAGGACGGATTCGAGCGATAGAAAACACAATAAAGTGAGGACGCTGAGAAGAAAACCTAGCAATATTTCTGATGAAATATTTCATTTATTTTCACTAACAATAGCTGCAACAGAATTCCATTCGACTATTCGAGAGTGCAATCGAACTTGTTTGGACTGTCGCGTGTGGCCCATGCCTGTTTCAGAAAGGCGAATAAACAATTTTGGTGCCTGGTTCTTTGGTGCTTTGCCCATGTTTCTGGGAATTGCATCTGAAAAATGAGCTTGGGTGCATCCCAAGTTTTCAATGTACAAAAGACATTGCAGCAATAGGCGATGGGGGTGCATTTGTTCGCCGTCTTGGTGGCAAACTTCTTGAATTATTCAAGCATGTATTTGCACCAATCGCGCCGTGCACAGCGTCTCGCCAGAGCATCACAGATCGTCATCTTTGCCGTGCCTATGCAGTTGCCTCTGCGGTCTGGCTTTCCGACGAGGAGCTGTTGCTGCGATTGCAGGGAGCAGTTTGACAAGCTTGAAGGAAGACTGGACGACAAGATCAGCCATTGCGTGGACAAGGCTATCCGCGAAGCCATGAGTAAGGTGCTGGAGGACGTTGGTGGGGAGGAAATAGACTGAGATGGGTGAAATTCTAAGCGGCTGGCTTTCATTTGGCGCACGGGCGTGATTATTGCACCAGCCGTGACCAGCGCAGCAATGTGAGCCAGAAAGAAGATTCGTCGCCTTTGGTTTTGTGACTTTGAGGGTCAGACAAGTTGCAGATGTTTTCCCATCAGGGCTAGATTATTCTTGGTGGTGAACAAGCTCATTCTGAGCATGATCACGGTTGCTTGGGAACCATACTCCGGTACCTGGCCGGCAATGGCACCTTTGGCTCCTCCAAATTCATGTGTTGTTCACCGATTTTTGTTGTAGCATTTTGGTTCGCCACTCGCATCATTGATTTGCCATTTTTCAACTGGTTCATCAGCAAACCTAGTGGATCGTGGTCGAATCCTGCCCTATGCGCTGGGTTCTCCTTTGTTGCCACGTTCATCTCTGCGATAGCAGGGACTCGCCTCCCTGACATTGATTTGCTTGGCGGAGAACTTGGCTGGAGATTTTGACCACAACCAGCAAGTGCAATCAGCAATCGAATGACTACACGTGTATTGAATTCGGCCATTGATGGCACTGCCTAGCCATTTTGTTTAATGGCTGAGTCAGCTGGCAGAGATGAATAAAAACGTCCTATGACTAAATGGGCTGGCTGAGCAATACACCAACACAGCCCCATGCTGAGGCAAGATCCTTCCCACCATGTTTCTTGGGGCCCAAACATCTGAACAATATGGCCCAGAACGCACTCTGTGACTGTTAAATCAGACCCTACTCATAGCTGGAAAGAGTCATCAGCATATGGGACCGAATCTGGACCAAAGTGATGTGATGAAATGGTTAGCAACACAGCCAACACATATGTTATCTCCACAACATTATTTCAGCTGTGGGTGCCGATGAACGAACGAACACGTGCAGCCTTAGCATGGGGTAGTCCACCCTGGAAAGAGCCATCAGGTGTGAGCCCAAGCTTTTGATTGTGCATGGTTCCTTATAGCCTTGTTCAGGACAGAAACCTCTCAGCCGCGAGCGAGCGGCTTTGAGGATAGACACACGCCCAAACTGGGCAATATCCTTATTCAGGATGCATGGCCCTACAAGAAATTGAGAGCCGCGGCGAATACTGGTGAGGCAGCTTTCATTGAATACTCTTGGCGCATAGGGTTTCGCTCAGTCGTCACCATGCTCCCCTTGAGGCTAAGACACCTCTCAATTTCACGACCAGCTTGCTATACTACCAAAAACACAAGCACTTGACCAGTTTTGCTTTTTGTTTTTGTCTTTTCTTTTGTCTAGCTGGCAGTGGCATACTCGGGCCATCCCACACAGTCAGAATGCATGTCGGACGTGAGTCCCTCGCCAGCTGAGTTTTAAGTGATCCACCCAGAGAAACGGTGGTCATTATGCAGCTGCGCAAACACCATTTTAATGCAGTTCCTGTGTGCGCCGGCTGCGAGCCGCGGGCTGTAGTCCAAAAAGAAGTTGTCTCTGCCATAGTGAGTCCTGGGGGCCAAGCTGCTCAGCACTTAGTTCTTAGCAGCCAGAAGTCAGCAATCTACCTGTGCGGTAAATTGGCCTTAGGTTTCCCGACCATTCTCCATATTCCCTCACTGGCCGGCTTTTGCCTTGGCCTTTGCTACGTCGTGGCGCATTTAGAATGCTTTCGTCTGGAAAATACGAGTCGATGCGCATGAGCGAATCAAGAGAAACGATAGCGGAAGGCGGGCGGAAACGGCATAGACATGCGGTCGTCCAAATCCTGCCTCCAGACCACCTGCAGAATCCTGTCCTTGCTCCACTGATCCGTCAGGTCATTGGCGCGATTCAGGGCTGAACGGACCGCTCAGATGGATTTCCGCTGGGAACCCATTTAACAGGTTCACAGTGAATGAGCAATACTCAAGTAGTCTCAAAATCTCAATGTCATCGCACCTCTTATCAGCTGAAAGAACAGAAAATCCTGTTAGCCTAGCGTTCCCTGAGTGGCCACAGAAGCGTTTGATGAAGTGGCCAAAGGAGGGCAGATATTTTTTGGCAACGCGGTAGCCAATGGGCCCTGCCGAGATGTGCCGGATATTGCTTGGTTACACTCTATCGGGTTGCTATCTCGGCATGGGATCCCACTCGAGTACCGCACCAGCGCTGGGGCAGATCCGGAGTGTATCCAGCACTCAAGGAGACTGGTTGCTCCAGCCAACGACAGAGTGATTGGGTCGTCTGGGGGCACAGGAAATGCTGCGTGCACCGTTTTCTATTACATTTGTTCTTTAGTGACAGAGCGCAGTCGCTGGGCCAGCAAGGCGTTGTCGGACATTATTTCTCATGCAGACTGTCCAAGAGACCATCGCAATTGACACAAAGGCGTGACACGGGGAGCGCTGGATGTGGCGGGCGAACTTTCCAAGATTGGTGCATGTGATGCAAGAAGCTTTACACGCACGAGGATTTCTGGAACCCTAGCAGAGGGGTACGCTCAGCTGTGCGTGTGGGGCATTGTGCAGAACATCGGTCACCACTGTGGGGGCGTCTCAGCCCGCCATCTTCAGCTTGTCAGGCAGTCGATACAAGTAGGTAGCCAAGCATGACGGACACGTGAAGCGGACTTCGGATCAAGGGCGCAAAGATCTGCATGCCGGGGCTGGCCACCAGAGTCGTTCCGAGTCTTGCCGGCAAAACCAGCGGAGGTGCAGTGAGTGGCGAACCATCGAGCACTCCAATTCAGAGACTGTGAAACATGAACGCCAGTGCGACTCGAGTCAGACTTCAGGAGTCAGCCGAGACGGGTGTGCATGCCTGCCCTTTGCACTGCGGGCCTTGGGCCCCGCCCTTGGAGCTGACAATAAGTTTGAACGCTGTGCTAAAGATCAACCTGCTCTCCCACACCTGCTGCACCTACGGGATGGCGCGTCAGACCGCACCTCCTGCCATTCCTTCTCCGTGTCCACAATCGACGCTAGCTCAACATCCCCACCAAAGCAGGCACGCGGGAATAACACCTTCCCCAATCTGGGACACAAAGTACGGGGGATGTGGGCCACCACCAGCGTCGAACAACCTCACGTTTCTGGCTGCATGTTCGCCCAGACGGGGTGACTGCACTCTCGCTCTCGCTCCGACGCATCAAAACCTTCGAAGCAGTCACTGGGGTGGGAGGGGCCGCCCGGAGCTGGCAGTCGGCGGGGTGCCAGGGCATTGGCCCCAGCGTCGGCCGCCAGCCGCGCCCTCCCCGGCATCCGCCTGGGCCAGCGGGCCCCTCGGCCCACCGGAGCAATGCGTGCACCGCCGCTCGCTGCACGGTCCCTGAGCGCAGCGGGGCCACGCCGATCCCCATCCCGATCACGACAAGCGTCGGCATCCTCACTCAAGCGATACGCAATACCCCGTATTGGTATCGTATCGGTGGCCGCAATACGCTGCAGGATCATGGATCGGGACCCGGGCCGCGAGCGTTGGCCAAGTCGTCGCCCGCCGCACGCGCGCCCTGACGGGGGCGCTTCGCGGGAGGCGTGTCCCCTGGACCCCGGGTTCCGGGCGAGGAGCCGGGGCACTGGGGCCCGCCGGCTGGGACCGGAGGACCAGGGTCGTCCGGCCGGTACAGCGGGCCCAGGGCGCGGATGGACGTCGAGGAGGGGGTGGACGCGCGGGCTTGGGCGGCGCGGATGAAGGCGCTGGCGTCGGGAAAGGCTGTCAGGGCGGAGGATACCATCGACCGCAGTTCGTCCAGGGTGTGCCTGCACGAGGCAGATTGAAGCGTTTAGTCGTCATTAATCCATGGCTCACTGACCGAATGGAACGTGAATCTGACAGCAACCCAATTCTGATGCACAGCAACTCGGTGGGTGGATTGTGGCAATGCCTTAGTATCTCATGAAACAAGTGATGGACACTGCTTTGCTCAGGCGAAGTAAGGGGCTGATGGATGCATCCTCGCCTGGATATGTAAGAACTCTTGATGACGATGAATCTGGCATCTAACGCCTTGTTTAGTTGTGTGAATTTCATGACGATGACCGGTCGATTGCACAACAAGTCCGTCTGTCAATTTTGCCTCAATCGCTGCGCTGACATTGCTGCATCAACCAGAGAAACCTGGAGGTTTGGTTGCACGAGCCTTCGTGCATGAGACTCCGTTGAGCCCAAACTCTGACGTATGAGCTGCGATGTCAAGCAAGCGCCTCCCTTCCATGCCAGGGGAATTCAAATGCACGTGCGACAAAACACAGTGAGGCCATGCGACAACATTTGCTCACAAGTCTGGTGCACACCCCAACTGAAAGAGGTTGGGACCAACAAAACTGGTTGGGTGGCTGTGGGTTCTTGCCTGTACAAGAGAATCCTCTGGCCCGGGAGCGCTGCTGCGTGGTCAGGACAGACGGCGATGCCAGGAGCCATAGGCGACACCACAGATGACAAATGCAGGTCGGCCTTGCACAGCCCACAGTCGACGTCCGTGGTGTCAGTGTGGACTCCTCCACCGTCTTTGGCATGCAGACCGCCCGTCATCCTCCTCTCCTTTGAGAGTCACACATCGACAATCAGCACGCTGTCCGTATCACAATAGTGAGGTGCCATGTAATTTGCTGTTGCTGTTGCCTGCCTGTTAACAAACGCGTAACATGGGCAGGATACAGTGTGACATGCTTAAATCCCAGGGGTGTTGGATATATGTACAAGTACGATACTACGAGCAGGAACGTATATCAAGAAGTGAAGAAATTGACAATTCACAATACATTACCATTGCATGATGGTGCACAATACATTCGGGATGCATCGACACACAAACACTCAACCTACCTGTCGTTGACGTTCATGTTACTGTAGAACATCCTCAAATACACACTTACCTCTCCCACAGTCGAGACGGAACCCGAGCAGTCAACAGCAGAACAAAACCCAGAGACATCACAACCCTGATTCCGGCAGCATCACCGCCAGCCCAGGAACAACCCGCAGATAATAATCCCTTCTTCTTTTGCTGACAAGGCCAACTTGTCAGTGGGTCAGTGTTTTGTTTTTAGGGTTTATTGTGTCGAAACAAGAATCGACAATCACAAAAAAGACAGGGGCTAAACTCAAGCCCAACCTGCGCACAGGGCAGGGTTACCTTCTCAACGCCTACACCCCTGGCTGCCCCCCGGCGGCGCGCCTCCTGCTCGATCCTCACGTCCAGCTCCGCGATCCCGTACTTGATCGCCAGCGCGCACACACCGCGCGGCGCGCCTTCCCCGCCTCCCTTGCCGGACTCCCCGGCGGTCGTGCCTCTGTTCGCCGTGGATCCCCCATCCATGATTTTTTCCTCGGCCCCGCCACCCAACCCTTGTCCCCCAACAGGGTTGGCACAAACGGCCCCGCGGCCGCTCCCGTCGACTCCCCGTCCTCCCACCGCATCTTCTGCGACCGCATCCACTGCGGCAACCCCGCATCGCGGATTCGAGACCGCGCCGCAGCCCCCGCCTTCAGCGCACTCCCTTCCTTCAAGCCTCGCACTACCGGCACCTTCTGCAGAACCGCCCCCAGCGGAACAGCCGCCGCCACCGCCAGAAGCGTCGTGCCCGCCATCCAAAGCGCCGTTTCCGCCGGCACAAGCGTCGTCCCCACCGTCACAGGCGCCATTTCCACCTTCACAGGTGCGGTTGTCTCGATCCAAGGCGCCGCTTCCCCGTTCGCAACCATCGCCCCGGCCATCAGATCCGCTGTTTTCACCTTCACAGGTGCCATTCCCGCCACCCAAAATGCCGTTTTTATCTTTGCGAACGTCGATACCGCCACCAAAGGCGCCGTTTCGGTCGTCACAGGCGTCGTTCCCGCCGTCAGAAGCGTCGCTCCCGCCTTCATAGGCGTCCTTCCCGCCATCAAAAGCGCCGTTCCCACCTTTACAGACATCGTTCCCGCCACTGAAAGCGCCGGTTGAGCGGTCCTGAGACGCCTTCTGGGCCCCAAGACGGCCATCCCGCGCGTCAGTCCCCGCGGCGGTCGCCAGGGACAGCAGCAGGGCGTCGTGCGAGAAGGTGGGCTTGCGGCCCTGGCGCCTGTACTTGAGAACGGCGTCCGACCCATGGGGCAGCCAGTCGGGCGGCGCGAAGTTGACCGCCTCCGCGACGTTGAAACCGCAGTTGAGCCCGCCGTGGTAGGCGTTAGGGAAGGTCAGGACGAAGTTGCCAGGCCTCTGCTCCAACCTGGGCCAAGCAGTGAAAGGATTTGATGCCAACCATAATGGTGAAAATCCACATACCAATTATCATCATCATTGCCATCATGAATATTTATTTAACGAGGCCAGGAGGCAAACGTCAGCTTTATACACTGGCTCTTGGAGCATCAATCCAACTGGATACTCAATACTAACGGAATCCAAATAATCCAACTACATACATAATGCTATGCGCCCCTGCAACACTGCACACGCACGCAACATACACTAAGGGAAGACACCTTTTTGTAACAAATCTTACTCCCCCACCCCCACCCCCTCTTCTTGCCTATGCCTTGCTTGTGTTGCGTGCTTGTCTTTGCTTCGGAGGCTCTATATCACCTTTTCATAGCATGGAGTAGAGCCTCACATACACTTGCCTAGGAGGGTGTGCCCTTTGTATGACCTGTTTCTCTTTCTCTTTTGTAACAAATCTTACCCACCCACCCACCCACCCACCCTCCGTAGCGTCAACCCGTATTTGGATTCCAGGATGACTCAGCAACATTACCTGACAACGCCATACAACTTCAAAATGGTTTTAAGGGAAAAGACAACCGAAACTGTGGCGATTGCAGTGATTTGAAGAGTAGGATGCCAAAACCCATACATGGAGATTGGAGCAGCCCCAACGCCTGAAAATCGATCCATTCTATGACTTCCTCGAGGACAGAAAATTTTGAGGGAGGTTTGGCAACAATTCATGGGCCATCTACCACTTATATGTGGTGTATTGTGCATCTTCCCACCTTAGTTTGTTTTAGTGTAATTGCATAATCTCTTAGTGTCAATGGCTGGACCCTTCCCCACTCAGTCAATTTGACGCTAAGCGCACCAAGACCAAAACAGTGTCTTCCCCAAGTAGCACTTCTTCACTGATAGGCCGATCGACAGACCACCCGACGTTACTTCCGCTGTTTTAACACACTGAGATGTTGAAAGGTTAGATAACCTCTGACTGACCACCAAACGAACCAGTCGTTGATGATGGATTGACTTCATTGGGAAACAAACAAGACACCGCCCGCGTCAATGGGAAAGTTTTACATGATTGACTCAAACCGCACATTCAGACAAGCGAGCCCGAGCACCTGCAAGCCGATAAATGACACAAGCCCAATATCATTGTTTGGGTAATGTCGAGTCACAATTGTCAACTGTCTGGTCAATGACCAGATTCCGGGTGGCAACTTCGGTAATAATGGAATAAAGTGACAAGCTAGAAACCATTGATTGTTATCTTATTAGAAGTGCTTTCATATGCATACACACAATCTATTATTTTCCTCTTACGAAATCACCAATATAAAGGCGAGCGAAAGCATTGCAAGCTCGTCTGCTCTAAACACTCAACACCAGACAAAAAACAGCGCAGGTGCAACGCACTCATCGACACAAAACAGCAGCAATTTATCCTTCAGCACTACAAACCGCTGTACACTCATAAATGCGCCATAGCAATCATGGCAACTTCGCAGTTGACACAGTAAGTGGAAAACAGAACGACCAAACAACTTAGTCCCACCTGGCCACCGGCACGCCCCTCGCTTGCAGCTCGACCGGCGACAGGTGCGTCACCAGGCGGTGTAACAAGTTCGTGTCCACCTCGAAGAGGTGCGGCAGCGCGTCCCGCATTGCAGCTTCAAATTGCCCCGCCGCTTCTCCCGGGACGCCGTACCACACCTTGGGACACCCATGCTCTACATGGTCAGCCATCTTTGTCAGCAATTTGGGATTGTTCAAAAACTGGACACAAGGCAACCTAAAGCCATTTCCTGAGGAAGGGGAAAGGAATCGATATTGAGAGAACAGGCGATCGGCTACGAGCCAATGGACAGGACCAACGGCGAATTCAACCTGTGCTGTTTCGAATCAATTGAACAATGGGACATGAATGAAGCACTTAAAACAACGCATCTCGATGCACAGCTTCCACTCATGGCCTGGCATTGGCAAAAATGGCATGATCAAAGTCGAGAATCCACCACTTATTCTATTCTAATCCCGGTCAACACTACCAACACCGCTTTTGCAGTTTTCTGATTTTCAAATTGCCGGTACACAATTATCACCAATTCGGCACGATCTATTCCTGGTCTCAATGTGCGAGAAATCACCACGCTTGTGCCACTGTTGTACACGTGCGTGATCCTCAAGCTCGAAAAGTGAGAAGTCCAACGCGCACCTTTGGGGCGCCCGTGTGCATGTAGTTAACGCTGTACAGTGCGTGGTCCTCGATGTGCCAGCAGAAGGCTGATAGGCACGAGCCGACGTACAGCCAGGGCACCATGACGCCCGTGATGGGCTCTTCCCCCACCACGTGCTTCAGGACGGACTCGCGACACAGGGGCCAGCGGTTGATATTCCAGGGGTGATGCCTGAGTCCGCATGGCAGAAAATTGGGAACGAAGGGAAGATGCAGGAACGCAAAGACACAAAGGCAAATCACAGCTAGCAGATCTAAGCATGGACATCACACAGCACGATGCACATTGGCACAGCAGTGCACTTGTCGCGTGTCAACGTGGCCTGAATGGCAGCACAGCGCCACGTGCAGAAGCAGGAGAATAACAAGAAACAATGACGAGAAGGTTGGCATAAGGCGAGGCCTGTTTCCGGCCCTTTTGATGCGTTGTGAGCCCCGCACGTCAAACGCATCACCTCCCTGTCTGCCTGCCAGCTCGCCGTGACGATGGTCGCCAAAAATTACCCGAATTCAATCCGAAGCACCGCCCACAGGGCGGCCAGCGTCAACGTCAAAAATGAAAACGCAATCACCAGTTCGCACGGCGCACAGCCGGCCAGTCTACATGGCGCGGGGACATGCGCAGGGGGGCGAAAAGAATCCATTGCCCCACAGCCGGCGGCGCGATGCAACGGGGGATAAGTGTATCCTCTTCCACGCATAGCACACTTCTGAGCTAATGGACATGACGCTTAGTGGCGTCAGGAGTTGTGCATACCAAGCATTCACCAGTTTCATGTTGTACCCGTGTTGCCCAAAAGGGCATTGAATAAGCTTCACTTAATTTGTCCTCTGGAAGGCTCCCCATTGGGCAGCTTATCTTCTCTACGTCCTCACCATTATGCATCAGATTCTGGACATGGCCACAACGAGGCACCGACCGCATTGCATTCAAAGATACACCGAACATTCGAATTGTGCACGAATAGACTGATGGGCTGCCAAAGTCACCGATTCCCCTCGGTCAACAACACATTCGCGCACTTTAACCCACCTGTATACCCGCAGGCGGTCCGCAGCTCCGCCACCAGCCTCATCCTCGGGCTCTGGGCCCCAAGGAAATCCGCTACCCAGGGCGCCTGAATCCAGGTCGGATCCGTACAGCGCCTCCACCTCCTCCTCGTCCTCCTCCTCAGCCCCGACACCCCCCAATATCCTCCAGAACTCCCCCTCGACGTCACTCACGCTCGGGTAGTCCGTCCAGTTCGTCGCCCCCGACGTCGGTTCGTCCGCCTGGTTCGTCGGACGACTGGAGAAGTGCGCCGCCTTGGCCCAGTTGGCGTACGCCAGGAAGGACTTGAGGGTGTGCGGCTCGTCGAGCTGGGCGAAGCCGAACACGTCGTCTTCGTCGTCTTCGTCGTTCTCGTCGTCGGTGACGGTCGGTGACGAGCCGGTGTCGCTGCTGGGCCTGCTGGACTGCGGGCTGCGGAGGTCTGCCGGACGGACGCACAGGCTGTTCGTTGACTGCAGGCAGAAGTGAACGGTCAGGGTTTTGAAACTGGATGATTAATGAGCTCATTCAGAAAACTATCCTGCATGAGCATTATATGGATGTTGCGAATCAGGGCAAAGAGATCAATGGATTGAGGTGGCGCCCCAGCGCCTCACTTCCTGAAAAGTGATGACAGGCGGCGTGGCTCACCTGCAGCTTTGGGCAGAACTTGAAGTCTTGTTTTATTCCCTCCAGTTCCTCCTTCAGGTTGAAGGGCGGCTCCCAGGGGTCGGGGGGGACAATCATGCATATGCCATATCTGCAAGACGCAAGCGATCAAGCAAACTCTAGCACTTGTGGGAAGTGGCAACAAAGAAGCACTAAAGGCCGCACGATTCGACCCGTATAGACGATGGTTGCAGTTCAAATACATGATCATCATCAATTTAACACATTGGAAAGAGAGACAGAGTCGGTACGGGTCTGTGTCTAGCGAGAATTTCCGTGCATCAACCACACAATCAGGGAATGCTGTGTGCAATAACCCACTGAGAATGCAACGAGTGCACTCTACAACATCTCCACAACAGCAGCAGGCTGAGCCGCGCCAGGGACGACCAGATTCTACAGCTCTTTAATTTGTCGCTGGGGACAATCCAGGTGCTCAGCTCATGCTCTTGACCAATTTTGTGGCAATGGAACATGCTCCCATGGGCAAACCACGTTCCTGGTCCTCATATATTGCTGTTTAGAATATGAGGCGACCAGCGCCTTAGCTTCAAAATGCATTTCCACTCGCGGGCTGCAGCTTGCCCAGGCCAGGGACGTCGCAGTCATTGTATCAGTATTCACTCATGATGACTGGACACATCTCACCTGTGCACGTGATTGGCAGCTAACTACACCTTGTATTGCACAGCCATGCACAGGGATAACGATCTGAACTCAACAACTACATAGGACGACGCTGTTATCATTGCTCATGGCAACTGTTCACAACATTGTTACTGCGTACAGAAGAAGCGAACCTGGAGATGCCTCCATCCTCTTTGAACTCACTTTTCGGCCTCTGGACGGATTTTAGCGATGTACGCCATCGGATCGCTGAACTCCTCTTGTGCCGGGCGATAGATAGGAGCGCATGGCACGTCCTGACGCCACAACAAAAGGCAACATTACTGGGCCGCACCGCAGTCAACATACAAGCACGTGGGCAACCTGAACGTCAACGGTGTGCAAGTTCTCGGACATATTTTTGAATTCTTTGCGGCAAGAGCTTTTGTGTCTGTGATTTTCTGGACTCCTTACATCAAGAGATTGTGTCCTAATGCATCCTAATTCTCGCGCTGCAATTAATCGATAAGTAAACATGGGAGCCAGCACTGTAGACGGGATGTAAGGCATCAATAGTGTGCAGGGATATCCATGCAAGCCATGTAGCATCGCCAGTGCGGCATACCCAAATGGTGACTGCACAGGCAAATGCTGCCATCCTTGCAATATTTGGGACATTGGATCCATCCACATCACAGGAAGGAAACATTGACACTTGCAGACTTATCCAACTCTTCGCAGGCATCGCAATAATGGGCTCAAGCTCTGCCGAGTGCTGCTACAAAGGCGAATCACTCGGGTGAGCATGGTGCCAGGCAGTGACTTTCGCTATGAACGAAATCAGCGACTGGACTCAGCACAAGCTGACGTCCCAAACACTCAGTATGTTGCTTCGGCAAAGAAAGGGAACCGGGGACACAACAAACTATTTGGTCCAAAGTCACCACTCCTTGCACGGGGGCTGCGACATTTTGGGCAATTTCATAAGGCTTCGAAATGCAGGGACATTGAACAAAATGGGCAATTTTCGCCGATGACAGTCAGGTGGACCAGCCTACCACTGTGCGCGCCTGCTTAGGTTTGCACCTCGCTTCTGGACGCTTTGCCAGCGGCTTCTTTCCAAGGCACTTCGGACACCCGGCCTGCAACCACATCGAAACCCTGTCAGCAGAGCCCCAAGGAACGGCCAGCTATTGCTGCATCCCTCTTCGTGAAATCACGCCTTCTGTAACAGTTGCTGCACCCTGTGTCTAAAGAGATCCCGCACCCAATGTGCGAAAGAGGCTGCGCAAACAGCAGTACACCACAGCGCTGATACAAGGCCTCCTCAATCTTGCAGCGGAGAGCCTGCCACTTGATTAGTCAGCTGGTCTGTACATTGGTCACATACAATGCACATTCAAGTATATGTGCGAGGTACATGCATGAAATACGTACTCATGTACAGCACATACACATGTGTTTGGCCTATACGTGGGTCATGGATCAGAGCGCTGGCAAAAAAAGTTGCCTTCTGTTGCCTCCTGACGCCTATGAAACGCTTCAAGAGTTGGCAAGAGAAATGAACCAAGAGTAGTCCTCCCCATGCCGGGCTTTGGCTTGCACTCGCCAATCATCTTGTGCCAAACATTTAGTATATTCCCACTGCTTAAGTGCGATGCAGATGAAAAATATTCGCATCATCCATTGTTGTGAACAATGGACATCAGACAGTGGGCAGGCACAGAGCATTGAACAGTTGATGAGGCTCCTGGTGACTTCATGTGTTCTAATCTACCAGCACATGATGAAGCCATGACGCTATTCAGTGCTGGACCTGAACACGCTACAACCAGCTTTTAAGCAACAAACCCTACAGTGTGGGGCCGGGTGCTCCCCCAAGTGCTTGGTTGTGCCAACACGCTCACTTGCCACTATGGATCCTTCCTACACGTCCTGATTCGAACGCCATTCCATGAATGACTCTGCTGAGTTGTGGCAGCACGCTGAGAGAGACCAAACTTTCACTGGATTGGCTCTGTCTTAAGAATGCATTCATTCAACAAAGGCATCCCACTCACCCAGTTGAAATCGCAGGAAGGACATCCATACATGCACTCCATGCTTTCTTCCAAGTCCGACTCTGATTCCAATTCAGAGTCTGGCTGCTTCCTCTTTTGTGCACGACGACCGTTGAGAAGATTTTCGCCAGGCTCGAATCCCCTCGTAAGGCGACCCTCTTGGCTTGTGTCCTGCATTCCCACACCAACGCCTGTCACACAGGAGCAACGCTAAACTGCGCACTGTGCCAGAGTAATGAAAGACACACAACTGCTGCCCACCTTCCTTCCACTTTCTGGCCTGATCAGCGATGTCCAGGCATTGGTTGTGGTCATGAATGGGCAAAAGATTAGAGTGCCACCGGTGCAGTGGGCGGAGAACACATCTGATGGCAGTAGAATACGTTTCTTGCTGACCCACAATTCCAAGAGACCATTGCACAGCTGACTCTGGCTTCGATGTGCTTGCAGCCTGAATTTCTGCCAACCCCCCCTTTTCTTGGAGCTATGTTTACAGCCTTCATTAGCGTCCACAGCCCGTTTGGCGGCAACAAAAAAAAAACTGGTTGCGCATTGGCAACCTCCTTTTTGCCAGGCGTTTGAAATTAACCTTCATAACAAACTTACGACCCCGAAATTGCAGCAAGGTGTAAGCGCCGGCAAAAAAAGTTGTAGACACCCCAACATTGAGAGATCAAATTGGGAAACGAGCCGAGAACAGGAATCACAAATGCCATTAATCTGGGACCAGCGTAGATATTTCATTTCCTACCAGCTCAGTGAGAGGCATCAGCAGTCCTCGCCTTTTCGCCATTGCAGCCATGTTCCAGCCGCATGCGCCACTTTCAGGACAAGACAATGCTCTTGCACTCGTCAAGCGACGTCGGGCAGGAAACGCACAATCTCCCTATATGACGCCACGGCAAAATGGAGACATGTGGTGCACATACACCAGTAGAAAGCAGCCTGATTGCGATGCCAATTGCGAGCCCACTTGACACAAATTGATGCCACCGCAGCCGCTTTTACGCCATCGCAATCACTGTGACGGCATCATTTTGGGTCAAAACGGCATCGCAGTTGGCATCGCCAACATGCCGTTTTCTCCCAGTGATACCAGTGCAACATCTACCATTGTCTGCTTCATCGCCTCCATGATTTCCTTTGCACGCCTAGGTAGCCTGCCCTTTCTTTTAAGGCGATCAGCATATCCTTGCGCATCACAGGCCACGGCCGCTGCCGCTCTTGCCATCCTCTTTATCCTCTTTTCCAGTTTTTGGGCCCGCTTTGCGGCCCTCCTGGCTTCCACGGCCTCCTGCTCCCATTCCTGCGCATACTTGGCACTGTACCGGATCAGCGACAGTTGATGGCGCAAGTGGAGGCCGCAGCGCTGGCGACCGAAAACGGCGCTGGCTGCAAGAGAGGCGTTTTCTTTTCTTTCTTCTCTTTGTTTTCTGGGGGGGAACATTTTGGAATTAAATAATTGAACAGGAGTGCCCGGCCCCCTTATGCCCTTCAGGGTTTGCAGACCAGGCAAGACACAAAACGCCCAGTCTTCGGCCTTTCTATCGAGTGAAAAATTTGTCAGTCTGCTTCTGTGCCTGCCACCCTGCAAATTGAGTTCCCTGCTCATGGCATTTGAATCATTTCCGTCCATGAGCGCAACCAGTTATTAAGCCGATGATATGGCCTTGCACCTGATAGCCCCAGGAGGCGATCAACAGCGCGCAGCAACTCGTAACGGTGTGCGTTGCACCGCTGTCTTGGCAGATTCACGTGACCTGAGCCGATTGCTGCCAACATTTTAGGCCGAAGTGGGCACAGCTGAATCTGGCTTAGTGTTACGTTTATTGAGTGCAAATTAAGTACATATGATAAACGATAAGGTTCTAAATAACCACCTATCATTTGCTGCAAAGTACGCTGAGTTGCACCTCCCTTTCCTGACAGCTGTTATGTGTGGGGCAAGGTTCAACTGTGGCTTTCCTGCTTCAGTGAACGGCAGCGTCATGAACAGAAACTGTACGTGGCCCGTGCACAATGCCCTGCAGCATCGCCTAGGGCGCGATATGCCGGACGCCATTCCCATAGACAACCCGTTCGAACCACGTCAGCAGCTGAACATTTTTGTGTGAAGCCAGGGTTTGTGAGATTCAGCAACAACGAGCTAAAACAGTTTTCGCTTGCACGTTCTCCGTCGAGGAAATTCGGCACAGCCCCAACCAAACTCCTGTTCCCTCACGTAAAGATGCGTGTGCCAAGGATGCAAACCAGCAGACTTCACCGACTGCCTAGCTTGGCAGCACAACACGCTCGCATGGATTACTTAACGGCACATACATCCCCACGGCGCAAAGGTGGCGTTTAGTCATATGCAGATGCTTGTACTCGATGCAGACTTGCAGACTACCAACGTCCAAAAGGGCACTGCATTGTCAGGATCTATGTCAAGGCACCGCTGAACTTGCTGTGCACACACCTTAAAAGCGTCAGATCCTAGTATGAACAACGCAAACCATGGTACAGTTGTGAAGCAAGCTCGACGTTTGAAGCTGGAGTGAGCGCCGCTGAGAATTTCCGTTCCAAACTTGGTTCTGAGTCAGACAACCAGGGCCCCGGTCACTAAAACCGTGCCACCTACAACTTGATCATTACAATACATGAGAGCAACCCCCAGGGGCTCACAATCCCTGCTGCGCGATCAGGTCGCAGGCTACAGATCTTCCAGTCTCCCCAGACCTCCCCGTCACCATTCCCCAAAACCAGTATGCAACACCCTTTGAAATGCAAAACTCCGATGTCTAACAACCGTCTGCGATGCAGCCCTGATCGGCACCCAGACTGACCTTCAGGCTCTTGGACTCCTGTGTCACAAGTGACGCGAGCCGCGCGCCAGCGCCCTGCCTGGCCGATCTCTTGCACCCCACCCCACTGCTGCCGGCAGATCCGGAACCGCTCAAGCGACGGCTGGGCGACTTGCCAGCCAGGTTCCCATCTTCCGCGACTGGGGCGGTCACCAGGGGAGCCCCAGTTAGTGAAGACCACCCCAGGGGCCCCACGACCTGCATCATCGCCAGCAGGTCAGAGTCCGTGCTTGGGGGCAGCCAAGGGTCCCTGTTTGGGGCGCGGAGGTCATTTGAAAATGGCCACACGACTTGGCTGGGGTCTGGGTCCACGTGCGGCTGCGCTGACCCCACCGCGGGTGGCAGTGCCTCCAGCAGGTATCCATTTGAAAACTGCCTGGATACCGACCGCCCAGGCCCCTCCTCCGCCTTTGTCCAACTCTGCTGAGATGTGAACGGCAAGTGGTGGTCGAGCCCCTGGTCTGCCATCGGCATCGAGCTGTGTTTACTCGACGGTGCATGCGGCTGTCCTGCGTGTTCTGTTCCAAAGCACGGTTTTGGAAGGTCGGCCAGCACGTGAGCTGGGGGGAAAGTGCTTGTCGTGCCTGGGTCCGTGAGACACGTCGGGTCCCGTGGAAACCGGAAGTGGAAGGTCCCTGCCAGGGCAGACGTTGGGGTGTCTGCCGCACAAGGCGAAACGGGCAGCCACTGGCTCAAGGACTCCACCCTCTCGGCGGAGGGCTGACCATCTGACTCTGACGCGGACAGGGGCGAGGGCCCCACCCTGGGAAACGGCCCAGACGACCTCTGCAGCAGCTGGGCCTGGAATGTGGCAGCGTCTCGCACCAGAAATTGGTCAAGGAAAGACCCGCCTCGATTCTCCTTGGTATCGCCTGACCCATGCTGGTCTGAGGAATGCGCTGGGCTGGGTGCGCCGCCCAGCTCCCTGTTTTCCGCCGTTGTTGGGGCCACTTCGCATTTGAGTGCCTTTGTGTCCTCCTGGCTCGCGGTGCCGGGCTCCTCACCACCCCGAACGCCCAGAATGTTGTTCACGCCCAGTCGCTCGAGCACATCTTTGAAGGTGCCGGTTTGGTGAGGGTGGCCTTGGCCCGTGACGTCAACAAAGGGCACTGTGGAGCAGGCCGCCTCTTGCTGGGAGCCCATTTCTCCCTCCAGACTGTCACTCCACGTCGACAAGCACTCAGCTGCTGCAGCCAACAAGAGTGCTGTGCCAGCAGCAGTTAATGGTTGGAGGCACCACTTTGGTGATAATGTGCAGATCAACAGGACAGGGTACTGGCAACCTCTGCTGTTGTTCCTCAGGTAGGCCCGTTGGCTATTGGTGGTGTATAGCTATGGCCTCTTGAAGATGTGCTGAGGCAACAAGGGTCCACACACACCATGCAGATCGTTTTGGTTTGACGAGGAATGGGTACTCTCCTTTCCAGGACTGGAACGGGTGTCCTTCACAGAACACACAATGGGTCAGGCTGAGATTCGCTCACCAGCAAACAAAAATTTGGCACGCAAATCGTCACAGCAATGGTTCACAAGAACAACAGCATGAAGTGCAAAGCAACCACAAGCCCGCACCCAAGGGGCCCTCCTGGCCACTGAATGAGTGGCGTTACTGCCCACAAAGGCTAAGGCCGGGAGCACATGGCCAGTGACTGCTACCAAGGAATCATTTCCTGTGGCGGGGCCACACCAGACACCCCGCAGAAATCCAAACTAGAGGTGCAGAGGTGGGCCAACTGCCGGCTGACAGGTCCCCTGGCAGGGTCAACTGGGCCGCCCACGGCCCTTCAACCGCACACCGTCGGCCCCTCACCATCGAACACGCGGGCGCTGCCACGGCGGGGCGAAGCTGTGGTGACGCGCGCCTGGGATTCGAGTCCCTCCAGCGGAGAGCGCTTCCCGCGGAAACCGGGACGGAACATCCCCCGGAGGCGGGACGTCTCAGCCGACGTCGAGACCCGCGCCTGGCGGACGCGAGCCGCACCGCGGCGGCTTTGGGCGTTGGCAATGCGGCGGGCACACACAGGCAGCCGCTGGATGTCGAGAAAGCGAGCGTCGGGAGCGCGCCAGGGGCGCAGGCTTGCCGCTGCTTGCCACAGGCTCGTTACTGAGACCCCACTCCCCGCAGGCTTGCCACTACGACTCTCGCAACGCGCCGCACGCGCCCAACCAGACCGGCAGATCAACGGCGTGAGCGGATCCCGAGTCGCTTCGGCGCGCGATTGTGTCGAAAGCGGCCCGTGCGCACTGGCGCGGCGTCTGGTTCGTCGAGGAGGGCCTCCGGGTGGCGACGGCCCGGCGACGGCGGGCGTGCGGCTGCGCGATCCGGCTCCGGAAAGGCTGAAGCAGTCTCGAAAGGCCGGCCAAACGGGGGCCGGCTCGGCGATCGATCCGCTCGGCGAGCAGCGAAAGGGGGGGGAGAGCGGGACTGCGGCCTGGGCATGTCGTGCAGTCTACGACGTTTCGAAGGCGCTCGGGCGGGGGTGGGTGGGTGGGTGGGGTCAGGCAGACTGGGAGGGGCGGCGCGGCATGAGCGCAGCGATTCACCGCGGAGGCTCGACGGAAGAGGCTGGCGTTGGCAGAGCGGGACCGCGTAGGCGGCGGGGTGGGGTGGGGTGGGGGGTGGGGAGGGGAGGATTTTGCGGTACGGAAGCGCACCAGGTTGAAAGGCGGCCTGTTGAAAGTAGAGACCGGCGCGCCGCGGCGCCACCGACGAGATCGGCGATCGGGTCCAAAGGGTCCATGGCGGCCGCGGCCAACGGGCGCCCGCGGCGCGGCGGCGTCCTGGGAGCGCGTTCAGGGGCGCCGAGGGGGGCGCGCCCGTTTTCGTCACGCGGGGCGGGCTTCGGCGGGATTTGGTCTGGGCTCACCTGGAGCCGCCGGACGCGGAAGTCGGCTGCGGGCCGATGGGGCTGGCGCCCGCGCGGCCGCTGGGATGCCTGGTGGGGTGGTTGGGCGGTTGGCGGGCTGAGGGCGGCAGGCGGGGGACAATTATCGGGGCGGCGGGGGGCGCAATGAGCCGTGTTATGGAGGGGGCGGGGGGACGGGCGAATTCGCGCGTCACGGCGGGCGGGCGGCTGTTGCTGGTGGAACAACGTCGTTGTTGCCGAAATTGGGTTAGTGATGGGTGAAATGAATGCGACGGGGAGGGAGGAGGGGGGCGTCAGGAGGATGGAGCGGACGTCAGGGCCGGCGTCCCTTATCCGTTGGGCTTGAGACGCCCCTTCGGTTGTGTGAGGTTCCCTACGAGCGCGAGTAGAGAACCGTGCTGTCCCGGCGGGACATGCGAGGCTGGTTCCCGACTGTCACAGGCCCATCATTCAACTACGTCAGCCATCAAAATAATGTCCGATTCCCTACTTACAGGTGGCACGGCCGGTGGCCTGTGACCAGTCTGTTCGCGCCCCAGGCTGCCGCTGCTTTCCGCGTTCGTGGCCCCATGGTCCCCAACACGCCTGGCACCGTGAGACCTGCTGCCCATCAGCGAGGCCAGCCACGGAAAGGGCACTGACCGTGGAGCATTTCGAAAATTCAGCTGATGGCCGACGGGGGGGGGCCCGATGGAGGTCAGGCCTTGGAGGGCATAGCGTGCGGGGTGTTGCCAAACGCAGCCTCCCCGCAGGAAATGCTGCCTTGGTGGGGTTCTGCAGAAATGCCGGAAGCAGCGTTTCCCTTTGCCACGCCCTTGCACATTGTATCTTTGCAAAGATAGGCGAAGCCCATCAGAATTGCATCAGTTCCAGCTTTGGTCTTGCCACACCTCGATGGGGCAAGCCTGTACGTGCTGAGTTCTGGCATCTTTCAATTAGGAAAGCAGCGAAGATGAGGCCGAATCTCCAGAATTCTGGGAGCTGCAAGACTGAATACATGGCAGAATACATGGCTTCCCATCCATGTGTCTCCCAGTATGCTGAGGTGTGACCGTCTCAAAACCTCCTGGACTGCCTGTGCCTTGAACATTGCCTGCAAGCGACTGGCAAGTCCCCGGCCAAAACACCGTATTTCGTGGTTTTGGCTGCATTACCAACCCAACACAGAGGTCAGCAAGCCACGTCCGGACAAACAAAGTCGACGCTCCAAGTTGTACAGCGAGGGCATGCCTGTGGTGCAGAAACGTGAAGCCTTCTCGTCAAGAATTTCTATACAAGCAAGAAGTTCTTGCTTGTATCTTGTGAGGGCGGCGCCATACAGTGCGTCTGTTGCTGGGCCCATGCATTTATTGAACGTCAAATTCGAGTGTAAACCGCACAATGGCAACGATAGTAAACGGCTCTATGGCCGAAGGAGACAGCACGCTGGAAAGCGAAAAGCATCGACATTTTCAAAACTTCAAGCCAGGTGGACCAGCATCAAGCACGCCAGCAAGCTAGTGAACGTCCGAGGAAAACCCGCCTGCATACTAGCAATTATGTGTTTGCAAGATTAAGGCAAAACTCAGCTGTTAAACGGCTCACGTATGAACGCACCAGTATGAACAACGCCACTCTATTTTGCCCAAATCAACGCCGGCCCTTGAAATGTACAATTTAAGAGTATCGTCAATAGCTCAAACGGCAAAGAGAGCATATCTTTTCCATTGCTTTGTGTAACGTCAAAAGGAGCCTGGGTGCTCTTGAGACTCCATCATTGTCTTCAACACCAGCTTTATGTCTTCAACATTTTTCGCCATCTCTTTGTTCTTTTGTTCCATTTTTTCATCCATGCCCTGAAGTTTTTCCTCGATATTGCGGACTTGCTCCCTTCGCAACCACGTGCACGTGTGACATTAGGCAAGGGTTTCAAAAGTAAAGAATGTCATGATTGCATTGGTCTATTTTATAGACAACCATCCCGAACGTTGAGTGCGCCCAACACGCGACTGGGTGATATCATCAGCTCTATAGGTGGAGTCGCTCAGCAGCTCAGAGCCGTAAGAGTCCACAAATACAGGAAGATGGTGTGCACTGATAGAGGACATGGTTCTGGAGTAATTTTTCAGCGACCATGGTCCCTGGAAATGCAATCTACAGAACATTACTCCACTGATTTTAAGCTGCACATCAAGTTTGTTTCCATTTCGCTGGGAAATGCAGGTCTGTTTGCAAAAACAGCAAAATTTTGTGGCATCTTTGCGCCCTAGGGACCCAAATAGCCTTCTACACAAGTCTACATCAAGGGGTTACATCGCGAGTATCACAATCACGAAAAGCAAAACTTCACCCAAGCTAGAACCAGCTGGTTGAGTCAGTCTCCCTTGGCAGTTACGGTGAATCACTGACGTTCTAATCAGATTAACACGTCAGGCAGCAGCACATGATGACAATGGTTGCCGTCAAGCTTTCCCGAAGACGCACAAGAAGAGCTCAGAGAATATTTGATTGCGTGAGCACATCCTAGACTTTTACGCTTCTTCGTAGAAATCATGGGTCAATTTTCCACAGAGAAGCATCGGAGCATAGGATGTGCACCTGCAGTCGAATGCCCAATCGAATGTCCAATTTGAACATGCCTGGGTGAATTTCATTGAGGCAACAACTGACGTACTAGCAAGGTGACAGAATCGAAGCACTATGCGCATACTTGAACACTTTCTCCATTTCCGCTATCTGGCCTCGCCACTTGAGACTAAGGCGTCTGGAGCCCTCATCTTCTGGAATTAGGACATAGAGATAACGTCCTATCTTCTCCCTGAATTGCAGACAGAATAGTCATGTAAGCCACACAGCAACCTTTCAAATAACTGCACTATCAGTGCGACTTTCAAAACATACAAATATTCCTGCATTGGCAGACAACTCCGATTTAAATACCCCAAAGGACTAGCACAGGGCAATGTGTACACATTGGTGAAGTACCAACGGAGTGTCGATCATTTGATGGGTGAGATTGACATACAATGGGCACATGTGCTCATTGTGGGTCAGTCTCACCCACCAAATAGAGCAAGAATTCAGCACTTTGGCTGACACTGATGAAGGCAGGTATATGGCCATCACACCATCAGTTCCACTGAGCATGGTATTAAAAGTTTCGAGTCTATCAATGCAAACGAGACAAATTCGCTTTGCATATTTCCTGTAAGCCTGGAATTTCCAGTGGAAACAAAGAGCAATTTCAAAACTTATCACCTAAGGGCTCGCTTTCGGTGTGGCATGAGCAAGCCCTCCATGTCCTCAATTGCTTGGGCCCTCCCATGCAGAAATTGTGCTGTAGCATGCCGCCTCACACTATCAGAGCTGTCTGCAATTATTGCGATCAGCAGATTCAACAACAGAATTGCTGACAACAGAAGGTAAAGGATGAACAACGTCATGGCAGCTCCAGAATTGGAAGATGTGAAGAACACTTCAGGATCGAATTGCCCCAACATCATTACGAACACAGTGGCCGACGTGCGATCCCAGCCGTCAAATGCATCACAGAAGTTGGCGCCTTTCTCCATGTCGATTTCTCTTGAATTGCAAATTTCACGTCTGTCCATGTCAAACAGCACGTGGAAAGCAAAAGCGAACCCTAGGAAATTGGCAGCTAGGAGAACAAGGAAGAAACTGACGTCATTCAATATTTGAAAGATTGTGATGACCAGGGGCCCGGTGCTCTGGAATGCCTGGCCATAGTACATCATCTTCCACCACAAGAGGAGGAAAGTTAGTGGCACTGTCCATTGGATGATTCGCTGGCTCTCTGTGTCATCCGAGTTGTACAACAGCCCTCTGAAGCAGATGGTCATGACTTGTTGAAAGCACCCCAATATATTGACACGAATTTCATCTGGGTAATATTGAACAAGGCTTGGGCATGCAAGCGAGTCACTGTGGAGGGATTAGTGTCCATATCACATAGCGTCCTTCAAAGTCTCAGATACAGGTTGACGATCATGACCATCACGATATGTACCCTCCACTTGACGGCATGGTTGGTTTTGTTTCTTTAGACATGACAACACTCCAGGTATTTCTGCAGGGACTATGATTCAAAGAAGCCACTCTCACCACGCCGATGTATGCCACAATCTCCAGTCCGTGCCATTTCGACCGTGCCCAGAATTTCCAACCATACTGCAATTCTGTGTCACCCGCAGCCAGCCTCAATACCCCCTTCAATGCTGCACTGCCACTTGAGTGCCTCTGGTCCAGAACCAGGTCGCGAAATGTGAAGAAATTGTCGATGCCAATTTTCCAGCATGCACGGGCACATACAACCATCATGGCCACAACCTCCAATGTGGTGAAGATGACATTCAACACACCCATTTTCTTCTTGGGAAGCGCACCCCATTCAATCATGTAGGCAGAATATGAGAACAACAGCAAGGTGTGCCAGATCAAATCTTGCAAAAACATCCTCCTGGCAAAGAAATTCCACTTGAAAGATATCACGCCTTGAAGTACAGTAGAGTCAAATGCATCACTGTGGAAATTCCTAAGTCTCAGTTGCCTGAGAATCCCATTTCTTCCAATCTGAGGCACAAAGAAAGAAGATCAGATTCCCATCATCTGTACATATGCACATCAAAACTCCTTTAGCAATTCATTGTTGAAATATTGTAGAAAAATTCAAATCCTGTGCGAGTTCCTATCGTGGCAGGCTTTTCAACATGGGCAATATGCACATACTATTTTTGCATTACTGAATATACAATTGGGTTCTGACAATGCATACATTCTACACACCTAACAGTACACTTTGACTGAGGAATTACATATCTACATAACATTCACAGCATCAAAATGCATGCCCCTTGGACACAAAAATCTTGAGAGAAAATCTGTAGTTCTGGCCACTTTTCACACCCCATTGACATGCCGCTCACCTGTGCAATGTTTGAAAATGGAACTGCCTTGCAGGAGATGGTCATCTTGTGTGGTGAAGAAACTTTGCAGGTTTGCCGACGGGAATAGATTTCCCAGCAGTGCCCCCAAAGAGACCATGCGCATCTTGAGTTGGAGGCATTGACAAGCCTGGTGCCAAAGACGGCCCATAGGTTTCTGACCATCTTGTCAGAAGAGCAATGTTCCTTGTGAGTCCCAAAAATCAGATCCTCATGTGTGTGAAATACCGTCACAGGGATGTCTAGCTTTCCCATGGGCAGCAGCATCTGACCACTGCACAGTCGCTTCTGGACTAATCTTGGGAACATGCACAAGAGGTCAAAAAATGACCTTTCCATCACATCAGCAGCTTCTTCAAACCTTGTCAATCCTCCAAACATAGCATCCAAAACCATACCAACAATTTTGGCATTTCGATTTTGCAAGGCCAGATCAAGTGCATTCAGCTGGGAGCGGCTTCTAGCTGCTGGAGTCAAACGAACTGTGAATGCCTTCGTTGCTGCCCACTTCAGCATTATCTTAACCCACTCTAGATTGTCATGCTCAATGGCCCTTAGAAAAAAGGACATTCCATCATCATCATGGTGATTCAGGAGAGCGACTCCATGCAAACCAAGCAATTCTTGCAGTCCAGAGGCATCTGTATGGAGCCCACATTGCTGAAGGTCCAGTCTGTGATAGTCAGGTAGGCTTGCAGATGTGGAAAATGGGGTCCAAACCCTCACGGTGCCATATTCCAGCATCCCAGCAACCATCCTTCCATTCCCACTGGCAGTCAGAATAGGCGGGTTCATTTTTCTCAGCTTTGGACCAGAGTATGTGTGCCTCAAGAATTTGAGCTCGGTTGGCAGACATTTGCCACATTTTTCGCGATAGCCCTTGTCATTTATCATTGTCACCAGAGTTTTGAAATTGCAACTTGTAGCAACCGTTCTGCCATCATCCAGGGCCATGTATATGGCTTTTTGGCCAGACATTTTGCAATCCTCGGCAATGCTCTTCCTCATTTGTTCAATCAAACACTTGTACTGATAATGATCCATAGTGCTGGGGATCCAACATCCATCAACAATAATCCCAACAGGTGCCATTTCTTTTGCTTGCATGTTCAGTTGTTCATCTATACAATGTGTCGATTGGATTCGCTGCTCATGCAGGTTCCAGACCTCCAAGTTCGCATAGTTTTTCAGAACAGCAGCATACTTTCCATCAGATGAGAAACAGCAAATGGCGCCAGGGCATGCCATGGTGTTGCTTGTATGAATTGGTCCTTTGTGACCAGTCTGCATCCAAACTAAGGTGGCATCAGCATTGCAAATGACTACCCTGTCTTTGTTAATATCATTCTCACAAAACGCAATGCCAATGGGAGTTCCTCCAATATAACCACCATGCTCAATGATCTCATAGGTCAGGGTCTCCTCTTTCATGCAACCTCCTCTGTTGTAGGTGAACTCTTTTCCAATGTTCCACACGAGAACACGCATTGAGCTGCTGCAATCCTCACGAGCCACTATTGCACATTTGCTGCCCTCATTTGATAGAGAAATGTGATGCAAACCCTTCCATGTAGTTTGAAATGGCACTTGCAAGCCGGCGTCACGTCCATGTTGGCCTTTGTCACATAAACTCCACAGATCCACAATGACATCATTGGCTGGCAAATCTTCTGATGTTGAACTTCTGCGCAATACAGCCAAAACACTGCCATCGTGGGAAAATACCAATTCCGCATGGAAAGGATGCTTCTGGTCATTAACACTTTGCCTTCTGTCCGCTCTTGTGTGTTCACAATGGAAGGCAGCTGATGAGTGAATGGCCTTTGATTGTGGGATTGGCAGTGACACTGTCGTAGCACCACATACACAGGCTTTTGGAAACCACACCAGCATTTTGCAATGATCTACCACCATTTCGATATTCGCACCATCAGGCCCAAACTCAAAGTGCTGTATGCTGTTTGCCTCGAGTCCATCATGCAAGTTCTCTGGTGCATCCATGATCTTGAACATCCCATCTGTGTCAAAAAGTTGCACACAAACAACCTTCCTCTCTCCATCCAGTGCCAAATGCGCAACAGCAATCAGATTGCCCTCAGGTGAAGCTGTAACAAGGACAGGCTCCTCCTGTGCCACCATCACGCCTCTCAATTTCAATGGTACTACATCGACTGGGTTTTCATCATCTGTATCCCATACAACCAATGTACGGCTTCCATCCACATAAGCAATCACTCGGTTGTGCGACAAAGTTTGGCAACAACTGAGAACACCCTCACATGGACTTTCCTTCAAACAGCTGAGGGTGCAAAGGCAAGGGGCGTCAGTGCTGTCCACAAGACTAAGGCAAGAACAGGACTTGGATTGACCGGCTCTGTCACCTGGCTTGCTGTCCAAATGGTGAATGTCATAGACAGAAAGGCTCTCATAGGCATCAAGACCTTGACTTTCCCCTTGCCATTGGAAATGCCCGTGCAGATTCCAAGTTACTAATTTCAGATTCCTGGCTTCAGCTGATCCCAACCAACAGCAGCCTTGACCAATGAAGCACTCACTGGAGTTCCCACATTGTAAAACATGGCCTTGAGTCTGGCACTGCCAGTTTGGCCACAACCAAGAGGAAAACAATCCACTCTTCCTGTCAACAAAGGTCAGGAAAAGAGCATCACCTTCGGAAGAAAATGTGCATTGCATCTCATCGACTTGATTCATGTTCCCATCTTGTGCCAAAATTCGAAATTCTGGATGGAAAGCAGAACCATGATTGGGACACGCCTCCATATCATAAAAATAAAGAAAAATGACCACAGATGGCGAGTCCACATGGCCAGCAGCACATGTTCCGACCTGATAGCTCACAGGTACACAGCAATACTTTCCATTTGGTGTGAACGTGGGAATGCCCTGCAGTGAAAAATCGCTTTTGCAGGAAAAAGACGTTGCCTGGTCACAGGATGTCACAATCGGACTGTCGTCCCAGCACAGGTTCCAAGAAAGCCTCTCTCCCTCCACAGCAAACGATGCTCCTGACGCGGAAGGCCCCGGTGTGCTTGTCAATTGCATCTTGGCATCGCATGACAGAATTTTCACACTGCCCTTGCCATCTTTCACCCAATGACACACAGTGACAGGGCCCTGGTGCGCCTCATGCATCCCAAGCAGTGTTCCATGATCCGCATCCCACACACATAATACACCATCTTCATAACCAGCCACTGTCCATTTGTGGGTGCTGTCCATTCCAGCAGTTGTGGTTGTGGCATGGCACAGAATGTGGCTATGGGTAGATGGCGCTGCACTGGTGGTCGCAATACATCCCGTCCTTTCCAAACTGAGCACTGGAATGCCACCTATGACGCGGAAGTCGTCGTGGAAAGATAGCGGGTTGCTGACAAGTCTGGGGAGATCTGATACTGAACACCCAAACAGGAATTAGAATTTACAGAGTGGAAGCTTCCAGCACAAAATGGATGGCAGCACAAACTAGGTAGTTGAAGCAGGAGGCAATGGAATGTATGCAGTATTATCAGAATCCCACACATCCTGCAAGGCATGCACAGCCATCACGGTGGGCGTTCTCGATGTACAGTGGTAATTTTTTCCTCCCTTTCCGGCATTCAAAGCAACTGCTGAAAGCCATATTGCTCCTTCTTGTGTACATGAGCACCTGAGTGGAACGTGTCTACAGAAAACGTCACAGAAACAACTCTTTCTAACACACAATCTCCAGCACTTGATGCCATGTTGTCTAAAAGCTCATTCTTTGGCCAGTGAAATTCCAGTCTCGTGTCTACGCACCCATCCACACCTGGAGGTGTCATGCCCTCATTGTCATCGCCGAGAGTGCCAGCACTCCGATCAAGGGAAGAGTACCCAGATAAAGTGCGCATTGAAAGGTACCTCATGAGGAGGAACCACAAAGATTGCCAACAGGATATGAGAAATGCACAGCGGTTAACTAACACCTGCATCGCCATCACAAGGTCAATATGATAGCTGCCTTTAGGCACTTAAATCGCTGGCAGGAGCTGCGCTGGATGTACGTGGTCATGTTCAGCAACTTGGAGCTTGACATGTCTGTAATCTACATTTGAGGCGATTCTATGCTATGGTGAACATCGGGTTGTAATGTTCCATGCTGCAAGATACCCTGCTGAAAAAAGCATTGCTGTGCCAATAGATGCACCAATGGCATTTGCACACGTTCTTGCATCTGCTGTGACAGGACTCAACAGAATTACAGATGAGTAATATAAAAGTTAAGTATTGAAGTTAACACTAGAATTGAGCAAAATTTGACATTCATAACAAAAAATATGGTATCAAGCCACCAGGGGTGAGTCTCTTTCAAAAGTGGCGTATTTCCGTAGGTGACTTCGAAATGCAGCACTTATCGTACAGGACTAGCACTGTACATAATGCCAAGGATCTTCCCAAAATAGTTGGGTTCTGTTAAACAACTCCCATCCAATGTACCTTTCACTTGGGTGCAAAATAGATTTCAAGTAACCGGCTTGAAGAGTCACACAAAGTTCTTTAATTTAGACAATTTGTCAAGTTAAATACAGGGAATATGTCCTAAGTTTGCCAATGCCTGCCAAGAAAACTGTGGACTGGCCCAGTTCGGGCACATGCGAATCAACTCTGTCTTGGCCTTGAAATCGAGGCCCCACAATTTATAGCGGCTGCACGGCGGGTGCCAATTGCCGCTGTGCTATCCGAAAAGCAGTCATGAATCATGGCTGGGCGCCAGTTCGCTGCCGTGCATGATGCGATTGGTGCACTTTGCCGTGCATCAGCAGGTCACAGATGACGACTCATTTCGGTACAGCCCGGCTTGGATTGCAAACAGCACAACGTCGCGACGAGGTGAGATGCGCTGCCGGGAATGGGCGTGCGCTGGCTGGTACCATGCCATACTGAAGGCAGCAACGAAATAATATTACTGCCTGCACCAAATCGGTGACTGCTTGCACCAAGTCACGTGCACACTTTGTCCTAACCTCAATTTTAGGGTTAGGTATAGTTTCAGGGTGAGTTTTAGGGTTAGGGTTAGGGTTAGGACAGGTTTAGGTTTAGGTTTTAGGTTAGGTTAGTTTGGACGGAGTTGGACATGATCTGCACGTGACTTGGTGCAAGCAGTCACCGATTTGGTGCAGCCAGTAATTTTATGCCAGCACCAACAAGGGCGGTCTATCATCAGAAAACGCTGTGAGACGGGAACTCCACCCAACAGAGGCGTTCGACCAAGCAGTCGGCAGTGCATGCCGCGGGGCCCCAGACGGGCGTCACGGGCACGCAGGGCCGAAAAGCGCGCGGGGGGGCGTCACACTCGGCCGCGCCCGCCGGCCGGCCTCCATGAACAGGCTGACCGGCAAGCAAGACAAGCAAACCACCCGCCAAGGGCGGGGCTGCGAGGACTGGGGCTGGGCGTGTGGCCACAAGGCCAATCGGCGAGATCGCGTGAAACAACTCTTCACGTGCACACTCGTCGGAGTTCGCGGACCATCCGATCGCCACCACGGCCGCTCCTCCGAGGCTCTGCCCACAGAGTCGCCAGATGGAAGACGGCAGGGCGAATCCTTATCGCTTTCTGTCCCCCTCGACCGTCCGCGATCAAGCCCACCGTGCATCAGCGCGAATCTCCCCCAGAGGCACTCGTGTTCGGCGGCCCGCGCCCCGTTCACGCCTCCCCCAGATCACCGCCGTGGCCCATCGCTTCCCACTGGGAACCCCTACACCATCTTTTCACAACATGGAAGAGGGTCTTCCTCAAACTTCCGAGGCCGGGGTGCCCTTTTACGACCTGTTCCTCCTCCTCTTCGCACCCTCCACCCCACCCCCACCCCCCTCGCCGCCGAATCCACGTAATCTTTTCAAAGCATGGAACGGAGCCTCACATACACTTGCGCATTAGGGGTTCCGCTTCGACAACCTGTTTCTCTTCCACTCTGCCACAAATCCAACCTCCCGCGGTCGTTTCGAGCACAGGCGGAAGGCAAAGCAGGAACATCGCGACGTGCGCGGCCGGCGACGGTCGCGATGTTCACGTTTTCAGATGCGGCATTCCCAAACATTCCGGGCAGGCGCGGGGCGTCGCCCCATCGGATCGCGAACGCAGCCGCGCGTGCGCACCGATCCCGGCGATGCGATTTGGACCGACTGGCCCCCCGGGCGGCCTCGCGGGCGCCCCGCCCGTCAGTGCCCGCAGCGGGCGGGCTTGGCGCGGGTGCAGGATGGCCCCTGGGAGGGCATCTGGCCGGAACCTAGCGGGAGCTGGCGGAACGCGGCCGCCCGGTTGTGCGCCCTTTTCGGACTTCGTTCAGCACACTGCCCAGATGCTCGTGGATTCACAGCACATTTGGGGGTCCGAGGTGGCACACACACTGGGCGGTGACGGCGCCGCTACTCCATGCCTTAAGTTCCAATGATGACGCGATGCGCACAGGTGCCCCAGCAATTATCTTCGCGTTCACAGAGACACTCGGACACCATCAGGACGCTCCTGGAATACCCTTTTGCTGTTGTCTTGTGGTGAGTTTGTGTGTGGGCGCTGTTGTGTCGTTGTGCTCTGTGTGAGACGCAGATGGTCTGCTGGCGCCGACACGGGGGCCCCAAATAGGGGAACGAAAGTGTCCCTTGTGACAGCTCTCTCTCCAATTAGTAGGAGTTCCCGCGCCTTGGGCTCGGACACCTTCAAAGTCAGCGCCAAGGTGCATGACTTAGGACTGTTGAAATCTGAATGTAAAGGGGCGCTCGATCGACTGATTGATTGACCGGCCAATTCTGGCTGCAGTTCTGAGCGCTGCTCGCTTTTCATTGAGATGCTGCTACACGGCGTCCTCTGTTTTTGAAGCAGCTTTTGGATCGACCATTGGCGCAAAAATGCCCTATCTGCACATTTTCTCTCTTTTCCCAATCAACAACGAATTGCAGGAGATCGCACACCGGGCACCGAGTAGCAAGGAGCGTAAAGGGGGCCGAGTCGTGTGATCTCAACCATATGTTTTGCGTGGGTTCGACAGTGCTCTAACACAAAACACATGCACACAATTTTCCCTGACGTATTTCTTTTACGTCCTTCCGAAGTGCTGCTCCAAGTCGTCAAATCACTGCGGCACAGCCGTTGGGAATAAAACCACTCAAAATCCCAAGGGAGACTCAAGCAGGCCAGTTGCTATTTCCGCACTCGCTTCAAAACATCTCACAGGCAAGCGTGCCGCAAGTGTGCAGTGCTTTTCTCCTCTCGAACAAAGGGCAAAAGAGGAAGAAGATGAGAGAATTCTCCAGGAGCACTTCTGCCCAGCGTTGCCGAAACCAGCAATCTCCTCCAGTGGGACTTCTGAACGCGCTGTCCTTGCGTTCTTAGTCGACATGCGCCTCCATGAGGTCGTCAGGGGCAGAGCAAGCAGCGAATGCCTACAGCGCTGCTAACAGTCTTAGATTCCGGAAGCCGAGAGTCTACTGTCCAGCGACCTCAAGCTCTGCAAGCTGCGCCGTCAGCTCGCCGATCTCGGCTTCCAGGTGGGCAAGGTACTCTGGATCCTCCTGCAGCTTCTTCTCAAGAGGAGCGCGCCTTTTCCGAACCTTGTCCATGTCCTTCTTCGCGTTTTCCTTGGCCTGTAACAGGGGAAGTGCTGCTTTAGCCGCTGCTACGGTCGTGTGCGTGTACATCCGCGTCATTTGTCACTACGCGACGTTCCATATCGCTGCTCCTGTGCCCGTTTGGCGATTTCATGCACAAACAGCATACGATAGGGTCTCACACGCGCCATTGCTTCCCACTTCACGCACTTTCGTCATGCATGGCAAAACAGTGCCTTTGTGCCACAACAACGATGCTGGTCCCTTGTTGTGCAGTCATGGTTCATGTTTCGGAGTTTCAATACAACGTTATGTACTGTGCCCTGTGGAAATGCGGGTGGCTGCTTCCGCACCTTGCCCTCCAACAGATTCCCCTCCTTGTCGTGGGTTGGGTCCCCAGTCTCCGCATCGAACTGGCTGTATTTCTCTGGTGGTGCCATCGTCTTGTCAAATTTCTCTTTCTCCTTCACCTGCACCCAAACGCTGTGTCAAGGAGTGCCAGTGCGTTCACCGTCAATGCACTGTGCTGCGTAGTGACGTTTTCTGAACTGACAAATAGCAGCGCAATGCATTATGGTTGTCTGCGCAACTAGCTACTGTTGCTAAGTTCCTGCATTACTTGCACCAGCAAGCATTCCAGGTACAGCTATTGTGTTGCGAAAGCACTGTGCTGAGCGTTGCCGGATTCTCCACAGAACTGTGTCATCAGGAACCTGCCCAGCAGGACTTCGCATACGGCCAAGACACACGGGCTGCGACAGGAGAGGTGAGAAAACTCTGAATCGCAGATGATCACGACAGGAGTTCAGGCACATGGGTGGATTGGCATAATGAACGGTGAAATCGCTCATTTGGGCCAGCTGCTGACGTGCAACGCACCAGCTTCTCTCGCTTGTTCATCAACTTGGACTTTGCCTTCTCCGCCTCCAGTCTCCTCTTCTCCTCTCGCTCGGCTTTGAGGACTTCTGGGTCGTCAAGTTTCCATACCGCCTTGCCTGCGCCACGCCAGCCCGTCACATGTCACAAAACTACCAACAAAGTAAAAACACACCGCAGGAGCAGACACAAGCAACAGTGGAACACAAGAGAAGAACAAAAGAGCAGGGATGGAGGGAAGCGAGCGGAGTAAATTTCGCAACAAAGGTAAGACTCAATTGTGTTCACAAACGGGCAGCACCTTTCCAATGCGGCATTTGCCGACTCACAAACACAGTGCAAAGGTAAGTGAACCAAAAATACAAACAACGTGACTGGACACACAGCAGCCATGAGATGCATCCCTGCATCAAGGCAAATTCGTGCCGAAGCATATTATTCGCAGCCACTATTCTCCTAAACCGCCATGGCCACATTGGGCTGGTGGGCTGCATCACATAAAGACTCCCGGAGATGACAACGCTACACACGAAGGTCGTCATCATACCGTCTGCTCGGTCTTCTAGCCTCACACCCACGGCGACCAGCGTGTCATCTCGAACACGGTCGCAGGCCGCAAGGATGTCCTTCATATCTGCTTTGCTCTGCAAATCAAATTATTACAGGAAGAAAATTCACAATGCTATAGGCCATACCTTCCAGTATTGATCGTTTTCAAGTGCAGTGCTGCAAAAGGACTCTGATTGTGGTGGGCTACATGGCAATTGCGACCATCCACGGCCCAGGCACGAATGGCTTGTTTGGTCAAAAGCAGCCAACTGCTTTGAGCGAATGCATCCACGGTGGTGTCATAAAATGCTTGCATAGGACAGGTTCAACAGCACTTTTGCACACTCAGCTTCTGCCACTGAAATGCATGTTTGTAACAGCTCCATGCTTGTCAAGACGATTAAGATTCTCTTCCAGACAACCTAGAGATGTTGCAGAACTACTCAACCGCGCCAGCAACACCAAACGGCAGTACAAAGCAATGTATACCAAATGAGCGCTATTGGCATGGATTGAGTTGGTATGCATCGAAATGCCTGCACAGTCTGACGATGGGCCACAGGTGCAATGGCTGCACAACTGTCCTTTTGCTGTGACAGGACGCAATGCAAAAGTGGTCAATGGCAAAACCTCTTGCATGTGTATGTTTCATTCTACATGTGCCCCTTCTAACTGCCCCCACACCAGCACAGGGTTAGACATATTGCCATCAGGGCTGCCTTCAAGGGATCTGCCAGGGAGAATCGTACGCTCAAAGTTGCCACAACACAACGGAACGGAAGGCAATTTTGGCAGATGCGTTAAAAGAGAAAAACAACATTTGAACACGTCATGCAATTTTAAGGCACCAGTCGCCCTACACCCACCCTTGCAAGCCCTCGGACATCATCCCGGAAAGCAGCAAAAGCATCCAAGTACTTGGCAACATTGCCACCAGTCGCAGCCTCGCCACCCCCAAAGCCTGGCTGGTCTGATGGGAAGTCCACCAGCCCAAATGTCGACAGGATTTTGGTGACGTAGCCAGAGATCCGCCTCAGCAGGAAGGGGTGGGGGGAGGATTCCCCATCTGTGCCACCCGTCTCGCGTTTGGAGAGGTACACGTTGACAGCCTTAATAAGCTCGCCCAAATTGTCCATAGCTGCACGAGTGTTGACGTTGTCACACAGGGATTCGTGCACTAACTTCTGGCAGCTGGCAAACTGTTTCTGAAGCTCGAATTCGTCAGCCTGCAGATGGAAGTCCCAAGGGCGCATCACCATCAATTGTGGGATGGCGTCCATGATTTCATTCTGTTGTGAGCTGTGCGTCGCCATGCTGTGACTATGTTGCCAGAGTGCCAAGGCACAGTCAATGCAGTATGTAGCGATGATGAGGCACGAATTCATACACAATGCCTGTTCTTAAAATTGCCGCAATGTACCATCTCACAGCCTAAAAATTCTCTGAGGGATGCACAGCGTATAGTGGTGCAACATATGTAGTTGTACAGCCACCAGTTTACACAAAAACAGCTGTGAGTGACGACAACAGAAAAGCGAGATCAAGACCACAAGTGTGCTTGGCAAGCCCAAGTTCATGGAACAAGACGCACACCACCAACATAGATTTGCATTTTCAAGCCACCATGGTCGAGCCTTCCATATTCGAGTGGCTTTCGACATTCCTGCATGCTCACAGGCATGAGCATGCTTGCATTCAAGCATGCACTTGCACATGATCCGATGCTGCTCACTCTCGATCACACTGTTTTCAGTGGCATTTAACTAGTGGCAACCGTTTGTTGAAGCGTAGACTCGTATTGGTACTTGGCGCATCCAAACCCAAGCCACCCCAAAACAGTACAGTTTCAGCGAACGGATACAGCACCAACAGATTTTTGCTTTTCAACACTCACCAGCCACTTCATGCTCATCCCAGCCACATCTGACTTCCTGATTGCCACATCGATGTTCTGAAAGAAATTTTTCAGCATTGCCTCTTTGGCCTTCATCTCCTCCCTGTCAAAAGATCACAGAACAGAATGAATAAATAAATGCCTCCAATACAGCAAAGTGTATGGCAGTGCACTGGCCAGGCCATCCATCTCTACTGAGTTCAGATAGTCTGACACCATCAGTTTTTCCTGCCATCTACAAGGACCTCACATGGGACAGCAGCGCAAAATACTTGGAGGTGAATAGAGCACACATGGAACAACATGAAGAACACATGATGCAGCAATGGTGGCCAGCTACACCAACTCCCAGCACCAAGAGCACTGGGTGTCAAGCTTGCCCATGCAATTTGAATACAGCTTTGGTGTTCCCGTCTGCACAAGCACCAACCTGCAAAGTAGCAGCCAGACACATGTGCTCCAAAGTAAGGAGCTCAAAAAGGGTGTCTCTGATTTGAAGAGATAGGTACCTTCCAGTGCATGAGAAAACAATTTGAGGCCAAGGGGCTGATGTGGGGTGCTGAAGAACTGGCCAAGATGGAACACAACGTCAGGAACATATCGACGTGAAGAAGTTACAAAGGCAAATGTTCTCCAGCATCTTCGGCTGTCAGGCATGGATGGGTCTGGTTTTCGTCTGCATGTTACCTGCTTTGCTCCCCATACATCATCGGCTTGTTCCAAGGCTGAAGGACAAACATGAGGCGGAACTGCCGAGGTGTGAAGCTTTTCAGCGCTTCCCTGCAACAGCAACGACATGTCCACAAAAGGCATCCAATTAATGCTGTTGCCCTTATCATGAGTCATTCTCTGTTTGGGCATTTCTGCACCTTAAAGCCCATACCACTACAGTTCAGTGACAGATTACCATAGCGTTGGTATGCTGCCTCCAATTGCCACAAACACGATAGCAGATCCTCATCCAAACAGACAGGAACATATACAATTCGAGCAATACAATTCAATGCAGGAACTTGCATTAGCCTGGAGAGCTGATGTGCATGTTTGAATGAATCACAAGTGCAAAAGCTTGGCAGCAGTCAATTTTTTACAATTTGCCTTCAAAGGGCTTGAACGACTAAAAAGTTGCATACTTTGGCACTGTACACTTCTGCTACAGATTGTGTGGCAGTGAGCTGTACACAATCCCAAGTCGTTCTTCTGGTTGCCAGGCATGCTGTAAAAGGCCATTCTCAGCAGTGTATATGGTTCAGTATTACACAATCGCAACAAGACAGCTATGGGACAGCCACTGGCTGCAACAATTTGCAGGTTTGCAGTGTGGCAAGCAAAAGACAATCGCATAGTGAAGCTGTTATTGATGGTGGGTACATTTTGAATTCTTTACTCAGCGATGTTCTTCAGTTTTTGATTGAACGCTACATTCTCAGCTTTTGATTGAAACATGTGGATGCAAAATAAGCCCAGCAACGCCCCATGGCACAAAATTTAACAATCTTTCCAGTGAAGCAAAGATACTAACCCAATCAAAGTAGATTTCCACAGCGAACCCCGCACCGTTGGTGCATATTGTCACCAGTTGATCAACAACAACGACATGACCATACTGTTAAAGCACGCTGTTAAATTGACAGTTACAATACATGCACTGGGCAATTTTGTCCAGTACAAGGCCAGATATGTCTGCGGCTTAGCTGTGTGGGGCATGAATGTTGTGCCGATGGACGCGACTGTGCCTTGGGGTGCCAAGTGCACAGGAGAAAACAGCACATCGGCAGCTGCACTGTGGCACATTGAACATTGACCTTTCTCTGCATCTTGCCCACAAACAGCAACTTGCATCTGCAGGAGGCAGAAATCGTGCCGGAGGCCTTTTCAGGACAGACTTGCGCAAGGGCACGTAAATTCTACATTGTCCAAGTCTGTACTTGTCCAAATTTTTATAGGTGTGTCCAAGTCGACCACTTTGCACCTGAGCGCATGCAAATGACAGGCATTGCCACAAATTACACAGAAAAGAAATAGATACCTTCACCAATAATTAAGTCAATGATCTAATAATAACTGATGTTTATATCCACAGTGAATTGTCTCAGGCTGTCATATCAATCCGAAACATGTACACCAGTGTGCTGTGACCATCATAGACAGATTCAAACTGAGACTTTTTTTGTCAAGCTCAAGTAATGATACCACAATAATGTAGACGACCTGTGGTAACTTGCAGCCTCGTTTCAGTAGTTCAGTCTTGGTTGTCGCAAGGTCCCAAAATACTAAAGGGCTTCTGGGCATCAGCAACAATATGACAGCATTGTTTGGATGCCAACCTTATTTTCCATATTCTCCATGCCTTGCATCCACATCAATCGGTGATCATGACAGCCATCCCGCAGTGGGGCACCTCTGCAACCAGGAGAGGAATGGCAGAATCTGCAATGCCCGGGCCCAAGCCCAGAGCACTTGATGTGTTGAGCACATCGAGCTTACAGCGTGCATACCTGATGGTGATGAAGTTCTTCAGAGACTTGGACATCTTGTAGCCCTCGATACTCAAGTGACCAGAGTGGAGAAAATAATTCACCCACTGCCGGCAACCCCTGGAGGTGTACAATGCAAAATGGCTGACATGATGGTGCATTCACAGCGGCTGCACATTGAGGAAATTCATGGGCTTGTGGACTGGCCTGGTTCGGCTCTCGTTCATGCTGTCCAACATGTCAGTGCAGGAAGACAAACTGTTGCCATCATCTTGAAATTCTGTGGCGAATCCACAACAGTACCAGCAATGCTATGTTTTCCAGTTGGCACTTGGCCCCCCTTGTAAACAAAGGAACCCCATCGATGCTCTCCAGCGAATGTGAGGTATGAAATCTGCTTGGTGCCGATGGATGATCGGCAAACATCCTGCCCATCTAGTGGGCCACAGACATGGTGATACAGACAATGTATGTGCCAGTCGCTGAACCAAGTGGATCAAATCCATGCATATCCACATAAACATTGTGGGTATTACTATATATCAGCATCATCAACAACATTTATGCCTACAGCAGGAATGTCTCAATTTCATACACCAGGTGCCATGAAACTAAATGTCTGTTCCTCAGTACACGATGCCCTGATTCAAATGTGAGCTCAATTTTCCATCCGTCGATCTTGGAACATTTTACCTTTGCTGGCCTCACTACACACTTGTTGCACACCAATTACCACAATGCCTACACTGCACAGATATGGGTCCATGGGCCACCAACGCCTGTCACAAATCTTCGGCTCCGTTCATTACACTGACAAGACCAGAATTCAAGTTGACAATTGTTGTTGCCTGTGCAGCTTGAAAGGAGCACAAACTCACACAACTCTGTATTATTGCCAATGCTTAGCGCCCCATACTCGCAGTGGTAGAAAGCCTCCGCCTGAGCCAGCTCGTTGTCATGGTGTGGGAAGCGCAGGTCCTCCCCTCCTGTGTGAATGTCCAGCTTGGAGCCGGCGATGGCAGATGCCATGGCTGAGCACTCGATGTGCCAACCTGCAGAAAGCCAACAAAGCTTTCAACAATCTTCCAGGGGCTCAAAATCAGGTGCAGAGGTTGATCGCTGAGCAGCAGCAGCCAGAACTGGCCATCAGCCGACTCAATCGTGGCATGATCAGCCATGACCAGCATTGTCAGGAATGGAATATGAACGTCAAGCAAATGCATGAGTGCCTGTTGAGTTTGCATTCCTCGTCAGAGACTTGATCCATGCTCACTGCTGTCATGCATGCTTCCTGTTTTTGTTTAAATCTTCATACTGGTAGGACAGCACGGACAGCACACTAATCCACAATACAACAATATGCATGTATGCATAGTCGTACAATGTAGAATGTGTATAATTGTGTAGATTATGGATGTGTCCTACTGCGCCAACGCACAGTATTTATGCTTGAAGAGGGCGCTCCAATGTATGCCAAGCATCCCAGTGTTGAAAGACAGCGCATGGAGTGCATGCACAATAATCTCAAACAGCACACACCTGGCCTCCCTTGGCCCCATGGCGAATCCCAATATGGCTCTCCCGGCTTCGATGCCTTCCACAAAGCAAAGTCATTTGGCGACTTCTTTTCTGTTGTCTCGAAGTTGGCCTCCCCTTCTGCGGCAAGTGCTGATGACCCAACTGCCCATGGCTTCAACTTTGCGTAAACATGACCCTGTGTCCTGCCAGTGCACCAGAATATCTTCAGACGTCCAGGCAGTGACGTCCAGGCACTTCAGACATTCAGGCAGTGACTCAGCTGGTTGTTATTTGTTGCCTGTAGTTGCCTCCTTGCATGGCACAGTTGGCTCGACAGAGAGGGGGCCTCATCGCTGATCTCATATTTCTGGCATTGATCAAAATTGCGATCAAATGAAGCAACATCAACGATCACAGAGCTTGCAGTGCTGAAGAACACGTCAATCTTCACATACACCTTGGATCATCGTGCAGATTGCGTAAACCTCACTGTTGCAGCCAGCGATGCCACATCCAACAACCGCACTTTGCAACGCGTTTCTGACAATTACTCAGAATTGCATGGTACTTGAACTGCAACACATGCATGGGCAATGTGACTGCATGACCAGGGTCCATTCTCAATTCTATACAACACTTCAACGGCAAAGTACCCATCCATGCATACATCACATTAGATCCTGTCCATTTAACACTTCAAAGCTCCCCATTCTCGGGAAGATGGAGAACAAGGCTGTGGCAACCGGACCATATGTTCACATGCACTCTCCACAGATAGAACTGCAGTCGGTGCTTTGCTCCCAGTAATCGATCAGCTCCTGCAGAACATATCACTTGATAATTGCGGCCAGAGGCGGATCTTACCTGAACGACTGGGTATCAAAGTAGACACTGGAATTCGATTCATAAGCCATTCCCGCATTCACGATGCCCTCCACATACTTCACGATCTCAGGGATGTACTCACTCACTCGTGTGAATGCATCGGGTGGGCGGCAGCCCAGTGCATCCATGTCCTCAAGGAACTCTGCCTGACAACAATGCTCCCTTCCTCAGGCAAGGGCCAACAACTGCCAAACAGTCAAAAGAACTGTTTCTATGCAAGACAAAGAGTGTCACAAAAAGTGGATCTGCGCGACAGGGGCTAAGATTGTCACCAAGGGAATGTATTGTATCCTGTGTTTCTTTTTCCTTTTGTTTCTTCTTTTCGTCACTGAATGTTTTATACCACAATTTCACATCACAAGAATTAGATGCTTCCCCGTCCCAACTGGGGCATTGTGCACCTTGTGGCACCTAACAAGAATGTGCAAGGCGATGCAAAGCCCAAAGGACAGATGAAATGATAAGGAATGCACAATCTCAACAGAGTTTCTTTCGCAACATGTACAGTCACTAGTGTGAAGGCGCAGTGCACAAATCAGCAGGTGAGATGTCTGGAATCAAGGGGATCGCAAGCACCCATGGTGGACTTCAGCACTGCCATTAAAATGACACAGCAACAAGTCCCTGTTTTCACCAGGAGATGCACACATAATGCGTTCTGTAGCAAATTTATTGTTGGTGTAAGGGGTGAAATGGGAGGTGCCAATGTTGAATCGGGTAGAAGTGCATGCAAACTTGAGGTTAATCTTGTGACAGTGCACAAGAGTCCCTGCTACCTGATGATGGGATGTCAGTCAACATAAAAATCCTTGCACTGTTTGAGACAGCATCTGCGAAGCTGAAAACAAAGCTTGCCTTCCTTTGGAGTGCTGAGCCACTTTACAACGCCCAAGAGTGCGTCCAATTCATTAAAGCAGCTGAAAAATCTGGTGCAAATGGGTTGTCCATTGCAAATGTGCCCCATGCCATGTTCATGACAGAATCGGATTCAGCAACCACGGAATGCAGGCTGCCCAGTACTTCGACTGGCACCATTTTCAAGTCAGGGTCCAATGGTTTCCAAAGCTTGTTGACAGCTTTGGACTAAAGTTGCAATGTTTCAAGGCAATGTTGCTGGAACTATTACTAAGCCTGCCCATGCATCTATTTGACAATCATGACTGTGATGCTATCCAACTTTAACTTGGACAACAACGGCGTGGTTTCTAGTGGCTTTGCTCACCTCGTACTTTGCAGCATGAGCTCTAAATATTGACAAATCTGTGACCTGAGCCCCACGCTCCTTGTCCAAGAATTCAGCCAGGTAGTCTCCGCCCACCTTCAGCACCTCATCGGCTGACACACTAGTTTCGCCTGGACAGCATTGCAAAATGGCACCTTCAATGACCTCAGCATCCTGACATTGCATCACCACCATAGACATCACAGGCTAAGGTGCATCACATTTGCCCCCACCTTAGGCAAACGACCTGTATTGCATATTGATACGATTGTTTTTGTTACTTCATATGGACTTGCAGCAATTTACTCATGGATTTGTGGTATGTCAGCAGAAGAGGGGTTGATACTGTGGGAAGTGCCTTGCAAAAAAGTGGCTTGCAAATGGAAGTGTTGGGTCCTTCACTGGTGCTTTGGCAGTGGGACAAAGTTAGAACAGCCCATTCCACTGCCTAGTTTTGCCAACTATTGGCAGAGCAGGCCCTCGATGTTGCAAGACGATGAACAGCATATCTTCACCACATTGTTTGTTCACAAAAGATTGCTCATTTCCCCCAGAAAGACTACAACCACTGCAGAGGGGATTTCCTATCAAACAGTGGGCAGACAGCATGAGCAGCAAGAACAAAGAGACCCAATACTTGAATCGTGGAGTAGACTACAATCCTGTCAAATTCGGTCTGAGAGACTGGGGTGGTGCATGCAGCACTGTCAGCAGAAGAAAAAGAGGGCTATAAGAGTGCCATTCAAAGAAACTGCAAAACAAACAAGACTTGTGTGCTTCAGTATACAGCTGGGCATCCCCAGTTACGCATTTCCAACCACTTGTTCCAATGCCAGGGTTCTCACAAATGCCTCAAAACTTGGTTTGCCTGCAAACCCACAATAACGACACTGGCTGCTCTTTGGCAGTCTGTGGCAAGTAGCACCAGCCATTGCATGCGCCCAAGTACATCCATGAGTGCCAGCCACTTGCATCAAACAATGGTGCCCCACCAACGAATATGTTCGATGTATTAATGCATCGACAATATTGTTTGCATGCAGCACAACAATGCTCTCCTACACAGCCTTGTTGTGAAACAATGCCTGTTGGGATTCACTTGAGCACAGGTTTACAACCACTGGATCAACTGCAAGCCCCCTCCCATCCCCAAAACGGCCCACCTCCATCCTTACACTCTACTGGCAGTGCCTTTAGGCCATCCAGCGCCTGCTGCACCTTGGACAGCTTCAGTAGCTCCTGGTCATGGATTCCCTGCAGCTCGTCCACCCGCCTCTGGGCCCCAGGCTTTACTGTGCCCTCGTCCGACAGTAGGGCGGCTTCCTCAGCAACTCGCTGCTTTGCAGCATCCACCTTCGCTTGCTGCTTGGCCAGCGCCCACTCAATTGCTTTCCTGCAGTCGTCAGCGATCTGTGCAGACAGAGAGTTCGGAAGCTCACGCCAATGGGTAACACATCCACAATAACAATGCAGTAACAGTAACACAGTAATTTGACAGCCTTTGGAGCTGCTCTCACGAGGACATGGTATTTCCATGGAATGCATGTGCTCAAGAACAAAAACAATGGACGACCTTGCACCTTGCAGGCTGACGATGTGCGCAGAAGCGTCCAATCGGCACTTGATCAATGTTTCCAGATGTGTGCACCATGAGTGTTGGACAGTGCTATGGACAGACCGGTCACTCCTGTGGCAAGATACATGCACATGGATCTGCTGCACGGCATGCAGTGCATGCCACATCCATACTGGGGATGTCATACTGCAATCCCCACCAGCGTACTGCCTCACAGGGGTTGTCCCAAATGGGAATACCCCTGATACGGATGATCATCTTGCTTCTGTAGTCAATGTAGAAGCATTCTACAGCTGCTGATGCAACCAGGGTATTATTTTTTCGGTTCCAAAAGTTACTTTTCAATTGGTGTGCAACATTTTTGGAAACGAAACCCCTTGTTTGCCACAGGATACTGACCATAGAAGCACAAGGTCAACTGAGGTGATGGATTTGAGTAACACCATACTGGCATAGCAATTGGCAGCATTCATGGCTCCCTACAGTGAACACTCACATAGCTACATCGGTGGGCCAATTGGCCATAAAGTTCGACGGCCACTGTGTGTACTTCTGTTCACACCCTTTGTGTCCACTATCACTCCATGCAACCCAACAATACCAACAATCAGCCACATGTCAACACTGCTACTGGGCACATGTTAATCCATAGCAAAAAAGAGGATAAATGGCTGCTACTGTTGCATGTTGGCCCTGCCAGCAGCCCTGCAATGGACACCAACCAACATGAACTGTACCAGCAAAGGCGCCATGTCCAGATCCTTTCCAAGTGCTCTTGTTGTCGAACTATCATATTTTCAGCATGATACTGCACTCCTGACGCTCACGCTGGGCACACTCGTTGATGTGTTTGTAGAAGTCCTGGATATCTTGCTGTCCATCAAAGGAGGTGAGCAGTGGGCCGATACCAACTGAACTACTGGGCTAGGATACAGCACGGGCAGCTGGCGAGCAAAACAAGAGGCCACTGTCATGTGCAACAGATTCCAGTGCATCCTTCCCGTACAGGGCACGGGCTGTTGGCTGGATGTGCCTCCTGCTTCATGTTTCCCGCACCCAAAATGCCCCACTTCGCTAAGCTCTCTTGCTTTGTGTACCAGTTCTCAAGTGGCAGCAAGTACATGGCCTGGCAGACAGGCTGTGATGCTCCATTGCCCCCAGGCTCCAGACCACTGAGCCAGGCATGCATCTGCCCCGATTCGATCCCAATCTCAACAGCACTTGTGTTCTGTGCGGCCAGCCACACCGCACCAGAAGTCAGATGAAAAGCATGTGCAGGCCTCCCAACCTCCCAACATCCAGAGTAAACCTTCTTCAAAACAGTCACCAAGCCAACCCTACTGCACCCGGTTCCAAACCTCAGCCTTGCATACAGACCCCTGACTGCATCTCCCACTGCCATCCTTGCTGATCTGAGTTGTGTGCCTTCTGCTTGCACTCCAACACTTCATATCATCTTCACACCATGGAAAAGAGCCTACCAAATATGTTTGCTTTGGATCGGGACCCAAATCACCTGACACGCTTTTCCTTGCTGTCACAGTGCATCTTCCCCCAGCACTGGCTCAATCAAAGCCAGTTAAATAACCAATCGGCCAAACAAGCCAGTTGGTCAGCTGTCTCTGCTGGCTCAGTCAAATAACTATGTTTATGTTGGTTTAGGAACAACAAACATTTTCGTTACATTGCCATTTACTGGGGTTAACTCACACCTCTCGCACGTGCCGCACAGCCTCCACACCCTCATACAGTTCTGCAAAACATGTTGCATAGTGTTGTGCATGTTCTCATACTGCCTCTGGTGATGTCAGCACCATCATTCACACCATTGAACAGAGCCGCGAAATCCGCCTGCTGAGAGGAGTGCGCCCGTCTGCATGCCCTGTTCCTCTTTGCAACAGTGAGTCCTTGCACGACATAAGACTGATCATGACCTTGCAGGCGATGCCTCTGATGATGCCAGCACATCTTGCAACGACTTGCACCCAGGAATGACATCCATGGACTGCTGGCATCCCCTGGGATCTTTGGTGCTTTGGAACTCCCAAAAAGTAAATACCAGACACATATATCTACAAATTGTTCTGTTTCATGCACTGGCGACTACATGGCTCGACTACCCATTTGAATACATGTTGTCACGCACAGAACGCAATGAACCCAAGCCATTTCCCTTCAATCCAGGATCCACAAAACAGGGTCCCTGCACTCTCCAAGCCATGCACTAGCCCGCTTCCCCCACCTGCTGTGGCCCCTAGAGTGCGTGTTTTCTTGCCTTTTCTGTTTTTTGCGCTGTGTGTGCATCATTTCGCCGCGGAGACCCCACTTAATCTTTTCACAGCATTGAAAAAAGTCTCGCATACACTTGCTTAAGGGGGGTTGGGGGGGGGCCTTCGTATCACCTGTTCTCCTCATTCTCTCGGGAATGGGTTTGCCCTTTGTATGTTCTGTTCCTCATTCCCTTATCATTCATTCTCAAGTCCCTCTGCAACAAGTCTCGCCCACCTGCTGCGCCCCGGCCGCCCCCGCCCTGTACTCCTTGAGCAGGTGGTTCCGCCGCGCCCGCAGTATGATCTTGTCGTCTACGTCCGTTACGTTCATCACGAACAGGCAGTCGTAGCCGAAATAGTCCTCCAGCACGCGGCGCACGATGTCAAAGGTCACGTAGTTGCGCGCGTGGCCCATGTGGGCGGAGTCGTAGACCGTGGGGCCGCAGGTGTACCACGTGATGGACTTGCTGCCGGCGCCGGCCGCAGGGACGAAGGGCACCTGCGCGGGGAGGGGGGGAACAGGGGAAAGTGAGCAGCGAGAAGACGTGGGAAAAGCGAGAAGGGGTCCTTGGGGCAAGGGAACGTGCAACGATCTTTTGTTGAAGCAACGAAGGACGTTTCAGAGGATTTCGAGGGCGGACTTGGAAAGGGAGAGGGCGAGAAGCGGGAAAGGAGGAAAGGGAGAGGGAAGGAAGGAGAGGAGAGCGGGATGCAGGCCACGCGCCCCAGCAGCCGCACAACGACGGCGCGTAGAAAAGTTCGTCTCCAAACCCTTGAAGCAACGACGGGTGTTGAAGAGAAGTTCGAGGGCGGATTTCGAAGAGGAGAGGAAGAGGAGAAGAGAGGAGAGGAAAGGGAGTGCGATGCAGGTCCCGAGCCCCAGTAGCCGCAACCTAGACATCAACGACGGCGCGCAGCAAATTGTCGCGGAACTCTTTCCTTGCTGGATGTTGACACGCAAGGCCGCCAGCGCGGCAGGGATCCCCACCCGAGGACGCGATGCCCTGCACGCAGGAGGGTGAGAAATTGGCGACATGAGAAAACAGGAGCGGTCTATGTTGCACCTTTTCGTCCAGCAGGCTGTTGTACAGCACCAGCTCCCTGGGCTCTCCGCGCTCCGGCGGGTACCACTCGCGCTTGCCGCCCACCGCGGCCATCGGGGTCAGCCCGGCGGGCCTGCTGGGCTGCCGATCAATATGCAGTTTGCGCGAGTGGCGTCGGGATCCGCGACGCGAGGCGCGGGCGTCCGGTGCCGGGCCTGCGGGGCGGCGGTAGGCCTTAAGGTCTGCACCGCAGCCGCCTGGGGACTTTTCCGTGGGGGCGAGGATGGGCGGGGAGAGCCAGACCGAAGCCAGGTGGGTACCCACGACTTTTTTCGGGCGGAGAACCCAGGTTCAGATCATTGTGCCTGTTTTTTTGGCCGCACCCGGGCTGCGATTCAACCTTTTGCGATTCAACCTTTCGCGCCTCCTTATTCGCAGAGCAGCTGATCATTCGATCGCTTGGAGCGCCCGTGCATCTTTCGCCGGGTCAGCGGCAACATGACCGTCTTCCTGGCTTGTGCCGCTTCTGTGCGGCAGCTCCTTTTTGCTGGACAATGACTTTGACAACATTACATTGGTCGAGTGTTGAACACGTGGTTACCCAAAGGACAGCTTCCTTTCTTCTCAAACACGCCATGACAACTCGCAACAAACCCATGAGCCGCTAGGCCTGATGGCATCGTCAGGTGAACTTTTGTCTCAGAATGACATACTGATATTGTCCCTACTCTGTGATAGGTTCTCTTCATGGCAACCTGAGGGCTGCAATGATTGTCCAGATTGCTGTCCAAGCGGCTGTTCTACAGTCTCCAGTCACCCACACCAATGCATCCTTAACGTGGATGGGTGATCTGGGAAACCTTCATGAGCTCACCACAACGCCTATAAGCTTAAAGGTTAGTGCTTTGCACTGTTTTCGACGAAAGTATTCAAAGTGGATCCACTTGTGATGTTAACCCTGGCATTTTCCTGTGCTGGGAGACATAACCAAGCGCTGATCTTGCACCAGGCGATGTGGGCCGTCAACCACAGCAGCAGATAATGTTCCTAACTGAAGTGATCAAATTCTTGTCCAAGTTCAGACCAAAGTTCTGCTTGAAGTGATGGGTGACAGGTAATGTGGACCAGGCTTCAGCAATTGTCAACCACCAGAGCCAGCACTGAACCAGAGATTATCATGGGAGCCACAATTTGTAGTAACAAACACAGGATGAATTTCCCCTTCAAGCTAGCTGTGTTAACAATGTCGCAGCCCTTCCTCCCACTCATGCTATCATCAAAATGCAGATTATGTACAAAACGGTGCCAATCCCCAACTCTATTCAAGCTTACATTTGGCACCACACGCTTGTCAAACCCTCCAATCAGGGCCGGATCGTCTACCCACTGCAGTTAAGTATTGTGACATTATGCGGCCTGTCATCTCTCACTTATTGCCATCCAACTGGCATGGGCTGGGCACTCGCCCCACGGCCACGTTCTACTCTATTTATGTGCCACATTCCCGGTCTAATGTGATCTACCTATCCCAAGCAAGAGAATTCCGGCCTGAGTTACCACAGCCACTGCCCTCTTTCTTCCTCCTTGCTGTGTGTGTATCCAAGCATGTTTTGTAGCACAAATCTCCTCCTGTTGTCCGCTGCCTGTCCCTCTTATGGACTGCCACTGCAAAGATGTTGTTCACATGGCACAGAGCCATGTGCATGTTCCAGCACACCACAATGCATGACATAGTACTGCATGGCCAGATGCACTGATGCATCACAGGCGCAGGACGCTGCCCACCAGTACCATAAGGCATTGCAGACTGAACAGAGCCAGAGCAGACGAGATAGTGGAGGATGCCAGTGAACGAGGGCAGCAGCAGTCACAGCTCCTGGCAGGCTCGATGCTCTTGCAGCAATCCAGCAATGCCTAACAGTCCACAGGTCCTCAAGGTACATCAATGCGCTTTGCAAGGAGCTCATTGGTCACCTGCAGGATGATCATTCAGCAGGTCTTCAACCAAAACGCTGACAGAAGCCTTTAGAATGTCATATGGAGTGTCGTGCAGCACCCACAGGCAGCCAACCATTGCAATAGAAGCATTGAGGGCCACAGCAATACAACACTGTCAGTTCTAGGTTTCCATATTCTATGGTCAAATCAGCAGTTTGAGGCGAATGCGGTGAGTACACATGTTGTTTTGTAGGTGCCTCGAAAGGCTATTCGAGACTTTGCCACATGCATCCAAGCATAGCTGCACCCGAAATTCATAGGTATTTCCACATGTTCACAAGACTGCCATTGTGTAATCTGTGCACCAGCCACACCATGCTCAGGATCGATGACAGAGGGCTGAAGATTGCATTTTCATGACCTGACTGGGGGAACAACCGGTGAATTCTGATGCTAACCAAGCTAGAGTTTTGCTCTCCACAAGTAAGAAAGCTGACTGTAAATGTACAGCTCTGAACTGACAGCAATTCCCTGCACAAATAACACATAATGCAGTGGCAAAAGATGGTACAAAGTATTGCAAATCTCACCTGAATGCGGAAGTATTTCATATTCTCTTGTGTGAAATCCATCTCCTGTCCAGCACCCACAAAGCTGGCAAACTGCGTTGCGAAGACGCCACAGTCGCAGCCATTCTCTTGCCGGGGGACAGCGGGGTACTCCCTAGACCAGCCAGACGTGTCGATCGCCCGCTTCCCCTTGTCCATCGCCTCATCGCTGATGTACCTGCCGACAACATCCAGGATGTCGCGCCTGACACCCTGCCACACCATGGGAAACACTACTTCAGGTTTGGAGAAGTCAAAGAATGAGCAAAACAATGGGTTAGTGAGAGATTAGAAAGTATCGATTGGCCAATTCTGTAAAAAAACTTCAAAGGTCTTTGAGTTTGATAGTGTGGCTTAATACCTGTTGAGCAGAATCAGAAACAAAAAAAAAGCAACAGGCGAGGGAGGGAAAGGACAACACAGCGCGGATTGAAGGTGTGAAATAGGTTCAGTGGCTGTGCACATCTGACAGAAAATTGCGACCTTGCATCCCTCTTAGGGAGTCCTCAGATGGAACAACATGCACATGTTTCAATGTCGGCACACTGGACAAGCACAAGATAACATCAGGTTGATCCTGACAGGCACTCAATGAAGCACTGCCAATGCAGAGCAGACACATCAGGGTGGCATACAATTCCTTTTCGTCAGTTCATTCCAACTTTGTGGTTCCATCCGGGGCATCTCTGTCACATCGACTGTCAGCGAATTGAAGGGAAGATGAATTTCCACGTCCATGCCTCCTGGCCCACAACGGGACTCATTCGCACCAGAGAGAGGACAGTCTCTTCCAGGCCTACGTTCTAGGACTCTGGGAGTTTGCAGAGGTCCAGTTCGAGTTTAGATTCAGGACTCTCCTGGGCACACTGTGCAATGCTGGGAAAGTAGCCTCCCTCAACATGGACGAATCGGGAAAAGATACTGGAAACATGTTGGAGTGTTCTTGGAACAAAACTGAACATGTCCAACCCTCCCCTGCAAGAAAGATGCAGGAGTCATTCTGCAAAAGATAGCACACACAGCCTGCATACAACAAACACAATACTCAAAAACTCTTAGGCAATACGTTGGAACTGAAAAGAACTGAAAGTGAGAGCTCACATGAAACGAATCCATGTAGATCAGGCGCTGCTCCTTCAGGTTGGCAGCCGCACAGGTCCAATGGGCCCCCAGGTGCACAGGGAACACCAGCAGGTCACAGTCCAGCACACTGTCGCATGCCTGTCCCCATCGCTTCAGCTTCCCCTTGCCCGTCCATTTCTGCACCGCCTTGTAGTTGTACTTCCTGCCCCCATGCGGGTTGTACAGCTTTTCCAAAAAGAACGAATTGAAGAAGTGGGCCTTGGGCAGCGTGCCTCTTTCCCTCATCCGCCCATCCCTCTCCTGCAACAGCTTCATGTAGCAATTGATGACCTCATCGTTGAGCCACTGCCCATGGATGAGGCACTTGATGTGCTCCCCAGAGACCTCCATGCCTGCATTGAGCTCCACCAGCAAGCGGTCCCTGGGGGCCATCATCGCGGCCTTGTACTTGGCAGCTGCCTCAGCAGTGATCTCGTACTTGGGCGACACTGTCAGCCCCTTGAACAGGTCACTCAGCCGGTGTTCCTGCACAGCGTCGAAGCAGCCGTTGCCTCCCACGTCCGACAGGGCCCAGTTGTCCTCCAGGGCATCCACTGGCGGCAGTCTGGACTCGGAAGACTGGAGGGCGGCCATCCGTCGCTCGTGTCTGGCCTTCTCATTCTCCCTGTAGCTCTCCATGGTGGCACCACAGGCCTCACAAGCGCTGATCCTTCTCTTGCGCTCCTCCTCCTTCCTGGCCAGCTCCTTCCCCTTTTCCAACTCGTCGGCAATCCTGGGGTTCAATTTCGCAGGTTCCAGGCCAGGTTGGTGCCCGCTTGTGAAGGGCACACCACCTGACGAGGCCGCTCGCTTCTTGGGAGCCCAGCCATTGGCGCTGGCTCTCTGGTGGCCTTTGGCACTGCCTGTGTGGCAGCCATTGGCACTGGCTGTGTGGTGGCCATTGACAAGCGGAACTGGCAAGGAGGGTCGAAACTCTGTTGGCTTGACAGGGACTGTGCTTGTGTGGGAAGGTCTCCCCTTCCGATCATGACTTGCTCTTTCGTATCCATTCTGCAGCCAGACAAAGCAACAATGACAATCGAACCAGAACCGCAACATCGCCCATGCCCTAACAGGCCTCCTCACTAGTTCTGGCAACTCATTCAATCTCCCATCTTTGGTGCCATTCAACATGATATACAATGAGGGAACTTGCAAGGCACGCTGGCTACAATGCACACATGGTGTTCCACACCATGCAGAGCACCAAATGCTGAACACTGATGCAGACAGGTGAATGTGCTCCTGGTCAGAACACGCACTTGCACGTGTGCTGCAATGCGTTTTGTCGATCTGCGTTCAAATTCACACCACAACCCCAAACATGTACTGTTGAGGAGAGTCCACGACCTGACATTCCAAAGCCACCATGACGACCAAGGCATGAGTGCAGCATCGGGACTGTGCACATCAGAGCATATTGTGGAAGCCCCACAATGCCCTCAAAGTTAAAGGCACAGTGAATGCACCAGTACCATAGGAACTGCTGAATGCCTCCGAAGGAGCCTTGCAGCCCTATCGCTTTCATGCTACTGACTGTAATGACCGCTGCTCCTTTTCCCACAGTGTCATCTTCCATACAGAGATGCATTCTGCCTTCTGAATGTGCCCTTTGTTCTCTCTTCATGAAACTTTGCCATTTCTCCCCACTGATGCCCTCCATCCAACAGTGTGTGCTTCCATCTGAACACAATTCCGCGTTGCAGGAACCCCTTGCCAGGTCTCAGACAGTGCATTCCTTCCCTGAGCAGAAAACCCTCCCACAACATCCACTTGGCCCCAGGGTCATCACTGAACCACAAGGCTCCATTTCCACAAAACCTTCGAAGTGCAACCTTAGCTGTCACACCATTTTTCTCATGCTGAAGGGGTCCAACCTTTTCGAAACAAGAGGGTGATCCATCGTCCTTTACCTCCGTCTCCTCTGTGCAACAATCAGTGACCGCGCACCCTGAGGTGGAAAGCATAGAGGCCAAGAGGCCAACCAAACAGGCAAGCATTCGCGTTTCTGGCCCTGTCTGGACATCTGCCAGCAACGGGGCAGACCCTGCAACTTCCGTCCCCAACACTCCCCACACCACGCCCAACCACCACCACCTACGTAGACCCCCCCATTTTTCCATCCTTCTCCCCCCCAACATCCCCCGCCCCGAAACCCGATCACCAACGACAGGAACCGCCACCCACCTGCACCGCCCGACTTGAAGCCCTCAGCGAGGGCAGGACCGGCGCCGGCGCCTCCCCCGCCCCCCTGCCCGTCGCCTCCTCGCCCCTCGCCTCCCTGCCGGCCCCTGCCGCTGGGCTCCTGAACCATTTCGCGTACTCAGGCGGCAGTCCACTCCCCCATTCCCCGCCACGCTGGTCCCTGCCCCCCCCGGAGGGCCTGCCGGCGATCGACGTCGGCGCCGTGGGGTACCACCCGCTGGCCGGCTGCCTGTTCAGCCTCGACCGCGCCGGCAGGCTGGACCCCGCGATCGACCCCCGCTCCCCATCCCCCACCATTTGCCCCGTCCCCTTCGCCCCTCTGACGCCGCCCAGCCCGCTCGATCCTCGATCCATGCCCGGTGGCGGCTCATGCGCCATCGGCGCGATGTCGTCCGTGCAGACGCCCACGGAGACTCTCGCGCGCCTAGCAGGTCTCGCCAGATCCTCCTCCTCCTCGGCCTCCCGCCCGTGGCGCTGGGATCCGTCCGTTCGCTCGGGATCCCGCTTCCGCTTGACGAAGGGCGACCAGACCCTGTCGAGCAGCCCCGCGGCGGTGTCCCTGATCCGGGAGACCAGCCCAGGGGGCATCACAGCCGGCCGGGATTCGGGCTTTCTTTTTTCTTTTTCGGCGGGCGCAGGCCGGCCGGGGGCCGGGGGGCGGGCCCGCAGGACCGCGGGGTCGAGGTGCCCGGAGTGTGGCGACTTGGGGGGGGGCGTCGCGCGGCGGGTGGCGATGCGGGCAGGTGTTGGGGGCCGCAGTGAATTTTCGGCGCGGTGGAATGGTGCTTGGGGAGGGGGGTGGGGGGGGGAGGGGGCAATAAATTCGGTGGAATCAGAAAACCCCAGCCTGGGATGATGGTGCGACGCTGTTTAGTGCAACCGCAAGGGGCGGGTTGCAGTGGCCGAGCCGGCTATGTCGAGGGCCGCTGCCGTCTCGTGGCGTCCACCTCCTTCTTCCATAATACGTGGTGTAACAATTTGTGAATACCCTTTTACCTTGTTTGGCTTCTGTAATAGCTGCAGTCAGGTCCTAGTCGCCATGCAGCACCGCCTGGTACAAACATAAGGAATCTTGGTGTTGGGTGTCATACCATGCGTTTGGTGTGCTCTTGGTGCAGACGCTTGCATGGTGGTTAATGTCTGACCTATCAAAGTTATCATCATGTATTGCCGCATTTTTTCGTTGCAACAAAGCATCAGCTGCTCTATTGCAGCTTCCTTTTTGGTAGCTTATTTCAAAGTCGTATTCCGATAGAAACTCACTCCAATGTTCTTGGCACGGGGAAAGATCCTAATGCATTTGTATGTGTCTTATAGCCTGGTGGTTTGTGTGCAGTTGGAACCGTCATCCTTCCAAAGAATGCCGCCATGTTCTCAATGCGTGAATGATGGCTACCATCTCTTTGTCATATGTGTGGTAACGCATCTCAGCTCTTTCTAATCGCCGCAACATGGACTCGACCGTTTGTAACCCCCGTTCTTGGTCTTGCATTAAAACTGCCCTGTAGCATAGTCACTTGCATCAATCATGGTGACGAATGGCAGGTCGTCGTTTGGTAGTAATATAGTGGGGCTTGAGTCAACTGGTCCTTCAGAGTTTGAAACACTATGTCTTGTGCATCTCCCCAAACGAAAGACTTATTGATCTTGTTGAGGTCTGTCATGGGTCTTGCCATGAAAGCAAACCTTGGTACAAAGCACCAGTAGAAACTGGCCAGCCCAAGGAAGGCCCATACACTATGATGGTGTACTTTACGTGGCTTGGCCAATCCTGTACCAGCTTGATCTTGGTCTCATCTGGTCGGGCACTATTAACACCAACTACCACCTCAAGAATTCCATTTTTTCACAAGCAAAAGAGCATTTGTGGGGCCTGACCATCAGACCGTGGCTCTTCAGTCATTCCGTTACCAGCCGTAGGTGTTTGATGTGTTCATCCTTGTTTTTTTAAACATGAGTGTGTCATCCAAGTAGATGACCAAAAAAAAGCGTCAGCCACGTCTCTGAATACTTGGTTAATGTAGTGTTGAAAGGAACTTTGGGCATTGCACAACCAAAAAGCTTCACCAAGAACTCGTAACTTCCATGTCGTGTAAAAAAATCAGTCTTCAATATATCTTCTTCTTTTATGCATATTTGGTGGTAGCCAGATCGCAGATCCATCTCACTAAAGATGGTTGCTGCCGCTAGCCTGACCATCAAGTCATCAATTCGTGGTAGTGGATATCTGTTCTTGATGCTTGCTTTGTTTAAGGCTTTGTAGGTCATACACATCCGCAGCCCGCCATTCAATTTACTTTGCTAATAATGCGATTGCTCCCCATGGTGAACTACTTGTCGAATCAGCCCGGCGTCCAGCAACTCTTCAATTTGCTTCTTCAATTCATCTTTATTTGGAGAGAATTGGTAGGCTGGTGTGTGTGCCAATGCAACATCGGGTAACAATTTGATGCTCTATTTTGGCCTTGTTTCTGGGAGTAGCTTCAAACGCAATTTTTCATTCATGACATCAGGAAATTTTTGGAGTAACATCTCTCGGATTCAGTTATCCTATCTGTCTTCTGTCGTCGCCCCTTCGTCCACTCTCCGCACAATGGCCAAATAAGTTTCTTCCCCTTTTTTCAGGGCCTGGGACAGATCTTTGCCGGACAGAGTGACTGCGTTGATTTCTTGCGTGTCTTCATCGATGGCTTTGATTCCACATAGCATCCATGTTCTGCCGCCGTCCTTGATTTGTAAGGAATTGGCTCACCAATTGATTTTGGGGCTGAACTTTCGTAGCCATGGGATCCCTGAAATAGCACCGTGGCGTCCAAGATTCGTGACTTGAAACGTTGGCTGGCACTTGAAATCTTTGAATCGCTGCTTGAAAGAGCTCGCTTCTCGTTCTGGTTCGAGTTGTGCTGATCCGTCTGCCATGTGCAGCGTTTGCGTCTTGCAGGTCTCTTTCCAACGGACGCCATTCTTCTCACAGAAGTCTTGGCTAGTAAAGTTTCCAATAGCACCACTGTCGACCAAAATGCGCAGCCTCAATCCACCCAGTATTCCCTTGAAGCGGAGCAGATTTCCTGGTTGTCGTCATACTCCTTTTGTCTCGTTCGTCGTTACGGAATTGCAGCTGTTGATTCCATCATTTGTTTCTTGTGTTCCTCAGCGGGCTTCTCTCTTTGCACGTGCCTCATTCCACTGCTTGTAGCCTGACATGATTCTGCTGTACCTTCCCAAATCCGTAGCCTCTCGTATAGGTCCATTTCGTACATTGTTGTCCACTAGCACGCCTGTCTCCTACGCCCGCTCCTTCCTTTAGTCTCCACGACTTCTTCTCGCCACTTCTTCAAGGACTTTCTGTTGGCTTGCATACACCCAGCCCCCGCCTCTGTGGTGCTTTCCCACCATTTTCCATCATGCCGCTCCTGCGCACTAAAGGTTCACGGCCTCACTATCTTGGTGTCTTCAAACTGTCCTTTTGTATGGACGACAATCACATGGTCTCTTTGTTCTCCACGGTGACTCTCGCGCCTCAACAGTTCTTCAGCCTCCCTATTCTTGCAGCTGACGCCCTCTGAGGCCCTTGCGCCTTTTTCCTCAATACGATCTCAGGACAGGCCGTGCAGCTGCCGTCTTCTTGGCGCCCAACTGTGTTTGCCCTTGGGGCCGGCCACACAGCTGACGTCTTCTAACGTCCAGCACCTTCCTATCTTCGTCCTCGGAGGTGGCCACGCAGCTGCCGTCCTCGGGACGCGCAGCTTCCAAAGCCCTCAGTGTGGCCTCACAGCTGACGCTCTCCGGCATCCAGCACTTTCCTCAGTCACCCCCTTAGAGCTTAGTACACAGCTGACGCTTTCTTGACATCCAGCCGTGCCGCCGTCGGGGCGTATTTTGCAGTCGACGTCCCTTCGACGTCCAGCCGCCTTGTGTTGTGGGTCAGGTCTGACCGAAGCGCCGCTTTACCGTCGGCAGCTTCTGTGGCCCCGAAACTACTTGTAAGGGGGCGCAGCCCCTCGGTGGCATGGCATGGCCCGCAAACCGTTCGAGTCGGGAGTCTGTCGTTCCGTTGGGAAACGGTGCAGTTACATGCCATTGGGTAGGGACGCCTATATTTATAGGCGCCTGCTACAGGGAATTCAAGGACCATGCCAGAATGGTCATTCTGGCATGACCTTTTCAAATGCTCTGTCTGCTCAAGTTCCCTTCATTCCCGTGTCATTTCTAATTTCATTTCTAATGGGCTGCGCCACATGCGGCAGCGCCCTAGCAAACTATTGTGCGTAATAAGCACGGGTCTCTGGCCCGTGGGGCTGTCCGCTTTCCCGAATAAATACCTAATATACAGCTACAGTACATTATTCCAATATACGATGCTCAGGCAGCTTGCGGGGCTTCCCGTGTAGCGCTAATGTACAGTGACCCCTCGCACGTGCACCCAGTGCTTCTAATATTGATAGTGAAAAAGTGAAAAAACATTGGATCTAAGTAATCGTAATTAAACAATTCACCAGAATAGCAATGGAACATGATTAACAGGTTTCCAACATCAAAATAATTGATGTGAGCTATTTAGACCATATAATCATTCCGTCAAACCATAACAACTGATCAGCCTCACCGCTGCACACAAAGATCACAGCCACAATTCGCCACCAGAATGGGCTCCAATTCTTTCCATTATTGTACAATGACGGAATAAATGAGACAGAAGGATGTATTAAGGCTTGGGAAATTTGTGAAGAACGGCCACTTTGAGCAAACATGTTTGCCCAATGTGGCCAGTTCTTTGCAAAATTTCCCAAGCCTTAAGGCACCCTTTTGTCTCATTCAGTGAGCACAAGTTTGCTTTTCACCTAGGGCCTCTCTGTGCATCAATCATGTGTTGCCCATTTTTGAGGTGACGACATGGTGAAATAACCAATACAACTTAACACATTTTGTGCCAGTGTGCAGTAAGGCTTCTTCTGTCACCACTGCACGTGGAGAAACATCACCACTGCTAGCGGCTCAATGTATCCCTTGCTCCCTTTTCTTTCTGATAGTAATTTTGGATGGCAAAGCAGAGGAACCCCCGCTCTGATGCCGCACCAGTGTTGGCTCTGTGATTCAAGCGCTCGAATTAATGGATATTGCTTCATCTTCTGCTTGATCGCGGCGGCGGATTGCGTGACGAATTACCAACCCTCCTTTAGTGCACTGCTTGTGAAAAGTGCGATGGGGCGGGTGCGCTTCAACGTGAATAGCCATACGTCGGTACCAGCAACAGGTCTCATATGTGCTAATAGAAATTCCCGCTCTTGGATGTGTCCCAAGAAGCTTCCCATGCGTCTCATGCATCCCAGTGGCGTCCCGGTGAGCGTCCCAAGTGGGAGGCAAAGCGACAACAAATG